TATTTTGGTTGTGTTTTGGTTATTTTGGTCTCATTTTGGTTTTTTGGTCGTCTTTGGTTTTTAGTGAGACCCTCCATACTCTCAGTCTTGATAAAAATCTAGAAAGCATTGCTTTTTCATTTTCTAATGGACAGTTTTAATGTGTTTAAGTGAATTAAACTAATTTTTAGGTTAGTAAAGAAGTACATTCAATTTACTAATTACCTAATTGATTATTTATTCATCTACAGATATGTAACAGTTGAGATGCGAGATGTTTGTTTTTAATGAAAACATTGGACTGGAAAAGCCGGTAAATCTTTAACCGAAACAGTCAGCTGGTAATGTCTTTGAATTGAACTGTTGTGACTGTAGATGTAATTTTTATTTACAATATTAATACCTGTTAACCTATTTTGGTCTTAAGTTAATATTAATATATAAACTCATCTATTTTTACCCATTCGCCTGTTCTTTAAATATTAAAATCTCAGTTTGATATTATTAAGCAAAGTAATCTGATTTACATTGTCTCAAATTTTCTTTATTTGTTTTCTCATTGTTGTTGATCTCATCAATTTTAAACTTATTGACCGTGTTATCTTCAATTGCTCTTTCAACTTATCATGCAATCCTCTTAAAATCAGTGACAACACTTGTGGAAATATCTAATTCACCAAAACTAATATACAATATCATCTTATAAATCGTAGGTTGGACGGACCCATTTAAATTATTGTAAAGGATGGACAAAAACTATTTGTATACTCACGGAACATGAACTGGTGTGTGAACCGGCATCGGTACTGGTTGTGGAATGGGTACATGATGGTGTTTTGAATGAACAATTACTGTGGAAAAGAAAAGATGGCCATTTAGTCAAATATTGATTATTGAAATGAAGGAAAGGATTTAATTTCGATCAATTACTTGGTGGTTGTTCCCATTCAATTGGTAAAGGCAATGGCAAAGGAATGGGGAATGGAAGTATTCCTTTCTTTGGTTTCAGATATTTAACAAGTAATCCAGCTCCAACTAAACCTTTGAGCAGAATCTTCTTCTTCAGTCTACTGGCAACAACGTAATCATGATAAAATGTGGAAGCAATCAAACATGCAAAGATTATGTTTAAAATTTGACGAGTCATATTTCTGGACAAATGAACCTGGACAAGTAAGATGAGAAAGATTCTGGTCACTTTGAGTATAATCCAAGCTTTAGTTGGTAATCCATGGTGATTTGGTTATCAATCATTGAATTATTTTTCATTTTTTTCATTTTCTGGTATTTTCTTAAAGGCTTACCTTTGGTCAACGTAATTATGGTTGGTTAAAATCCTGTGAAATCACTGTAAACACTAAACTTGGCACTGATCTAAAAATGAGAGTTTTTTTGTAAATGATGGACACTAACGAACGAATAACGGAATAATCTTTGGCGCTGCTTTTTATATAAAGGGATGATCAAAGTCCAGTTGAATTTAGGCCAAAATGAAATGCGAATTCATACGGAGCATCCCTAATCGCAGGTCATTTCTTACTCTTGATTTTGAAGATGTTCCTCCGCCTTCCCTGACTCCCTTTAAGGCCCTTTCTTCATGATCATCTTTAACCTCATCATTATTCAATGGCTCATCCTCATCTTTATCTTTGTCTTCATCATCTTCTTTTAGTTACCTCAGTACTACACCTTCAGGATACATCTTTTAATCGCCAATCTAAATTTAACCGGGAATTTTTTCTTACTGTTTCCACCGTCAACTTAAATCATAATTTCATCATCTCATTAGGGGACTTTCTCAGAACTTGTTCATCGAAAACATGAAAAATTAATCCATCTCTTCAAAATTCACCAACAATCCGCTATTTTCAGGGTAAATTTCCGATGGACGAAAGAGTAATCTAAGATTAAGGATATCCCTTAAGATTACAGTAATTGTAATTCAGTTTTGGTTTTCCTTGTTCCTCGTTTTATTTTTGTTCATATTGCCAGCTATAAGTATTTCCTTTATTAATTGCTGTCTCTGAATATAAATTTCTAGCCGTAGACTTTGCTCTGTATTGAACAGTATTGAATTATTGCATATTATTGGTATAATCAATATTGATTAGAAAGTAATGTTTGAAGTAAAATAAATAAAAATATTTGATCTAAATTCAAGAAAGGAAAACGGATTCTAATTTACTTTATTAAACCCAAATTCAGACCAATATTCTGATTTTAGGTCGATTCGATTAACTTAATTTAAGTTGAACCAGTCGAAATTTAAATTAATTTAGATGTGTTGAAATGCCAGTTTCATCTCGATATGATTAAAAATCAAATCACTTCTACAGATTTCATCAGCTGGACAATATTATTCCAAATTTCTTATTAATCATTAAGCAAGAAATTCTTCTCAAGCAATAAAAATGGTTTCACCAATAAATTACAACCAATTAAGACGTATTAACTTTAATTTGGAGCAAATTAAGCAACCTGTCAAAGTAAAAGTGGTTTGCAACAAACTGAAAACACTAAATATAAGTGGTGTTTGGACACCAGACAACACAAGTCTCTTGGTCAACGGTTAAGTGGAATCCTATTGTAGAATCAATTTATAGATTGGATTAATAAATTGAAGCATGTTTGAGAAGAATGATATGGTTCAGACTCTGAACTTCAGAGTTGCTGAAAATTCAGCAATTATACTTGGCCTTCACACTGACATGAGAAATTTCTGGAAGAAGCAATCGATAAACTGATAGCTCTTATTTTTGGAAAGTTTCAAAATTGATAAAAGCAAAAAACTGCTTTATGTTAAAGAGTTAGTATTCTTGAGGTCACAGTAGTTGACCAAAGATTATTAGTTTAGTTAAGTTGCTTTTAATCACATTTTATTGGTATTAAGCACCAGACCATAATCACAGTTCACTTGAAAATAATCAAACATAGATGAGAAAACAAACGTGTTTAAGATAATGCCATTACTAAATGACTAACCAGAATTTTCTCGAACTTTCAAGCTAAAAGATGCTTCAGATGACTCAAATTGTTGCTTTTCAAATTAAAACGCATATTAAGGGATAGCTAAGAATAGAAATAGACTTTTGTTAATTAATAGGAACTGTTAAGAGTCAATGGTAATTAAGAAAAATTAATAAAAGCAAATTAAACTTGAATTAAAAACAAAGATAAATTACAATAGTTTATTTGTTCTCTTCTCTTACAAACAAGGTGGCGATAGCAGCGGTCACAGGAAAAAGGGATTGAAATGGGGGGAAAAAATCTAGAAGTTTACAGAAGATTCGAGAGAAAGTTAGTTTATATATAAAGGAGCGTATTAATCCGTTTCCTGTAGTTTCATTTAAATCTAACCAAAGCGCATTGTGAATAAAGCCATTGTTCATCTCACATTTCCACACCTTACCAAACAATTTTCTTGCAATTGCTTTAAATTGTTATTATTCAATTGTTCTCAATTAATTTTTTATTTGTGATTACTTTGTTTGTTTCATTTACCGGTATCTATCAAAATGCCCGAAGAAACTATGAGTGTCGAGGAACCCGAAACCTTCCTTTTCCAAGCTGAAATCGCCCAGTTGATGACTTTGATCATCAACACATTCTACTCAAACAAAGAAATTTTCCTTCGTGAATTGATCTCCAACTCCTCCGATGCTCTTGATAAGATTCGATATGAATCTCTTACTGATCCTTCTAAATTGGATAGTGGTAAAGAACTTTACATCAAGATTGTCCCCAACCAAGATGAACGCACCCTTACCATCATCGATACTGGTATTGGTATGACTAAGGCTGACCTCATCAACAACTTGGGTACCATTGCTAAATCTGGTACTAGAGCTTTCATGGAAGCCCTTCAAGCTGGTGCTGATATTTCTATGATTGGTCAATTCGGTGTTGGTTTCTACTCTGCTTACCTAGTTGCCGATCGGGTTGTTGTTACCTCTAAGCACAATGATGATGATTGTTATACTTGGGAGTCAGCTGCTGGTGGTTCATTCACTATTAAGAAATCTGTTGACCCAGAGCTCACTCGTGGTACCAAGATTGTTTTGTTCCTCAAAGAAGATCAATCTGACTATCTCGCTGAGAAAAAGATCAAAGAAATTGTGAAGAAACACAGTCAATTTATCGGATATCCTATCAAGCTTGTTGTTCAGAAAGAGCGAGAAAAGGAAGTTTCTGATGATGAAGCTGAAGATGAAAAGAAAGAAGACGAAGAAGAGAAAAAAGAAGAGGAGAAAAAAGATGATGAAGAACCCAAAGTAGAAGACGTCGAAGATGAAGACAAAAAGGACAAGAAAAAGAAAAAGAAGGTTACTGAAAAGTACATTGAAGATGAAGAACTTAACCGAACTAAACCCATTTGGATGCGAAACCCTGATGACATCTCACAAACTGAATATGGGGAATTCTACAAGAGTCTTACCAATGATTGGGAAGAACATCTCGCCGTGAAACATTTCTCAGTCGAAGGTCAACTCGAATTCCGAGCTTTACTCTTTGTTCCTAAGAGAGCTCCATTTGACCTTTTCGAAAATAGGAAACAAAAGAATAACATTAAATTATATGTACGAAGAGTATTTATTATGGACAATTGCGAAGACTTAATTCCAGAATACCTCAACTTTATCAAGGGTGTGGTTGACTCTGAAGATTTACCTTTGAACATTTCTCGTGAAATGCTCCAACAAAATAAGATTTTACAAGTTATTAGAAAGAATTTAGTTAAGAAATGCTTGGAATTATTCGAAGAAGTAGCCGAGGATAAGGAAGCTTACAAGAAGTTCTATGAGCAATTCAGCAAGAACATCAAGCTTGGTATCCATGAAGATACTCAAAACCGAAAGAAACTTGGTGATCTCCTTCGTTATTATACTTCTGCCTCTGGAGATGAAGTATGCTCTCTTAAAGAATATGTATCCCGAATGAAAGAAAACCAAAAATCAATCTATTTCATCACTGGTGAATCTAAGGAACAAGTTGCTGCTTCTGCATTTGTTGAACGTGTTCGAAGCCGTGGTTTTGAGGTTGTTTACATGGTTGAGCCCATCGATGAATACTGTGTTCAACAACTTAAAGAGTATGATGGTAAACCATTAGTTTCAGTTACCAAAGAAGGTCTTGAACTTCCTGAAACCGAGGAAGAAAAGAAGAAACGTGAAGATGACAGGAAAAAATTCGAGACCCTTTGCAAAGTTATGAAAGATATTCTTGATAAACGAGTCGAGAAAGTCACTATTTCTAATCGTCTGGTCACTTCTCCATGTTGTATCGTCACAAGTCAGTATGGTTGGTCAGCCAACATGGAACGTATTATGAAAGCTCAGGCTCTCCGGGATACATCCACAATGGGATACATGGCTGCTAAAAAGCATCTTGAAATTAACCCAGATCATTCAATCATTGAAAGTCTCAGAATTAAAGTTGAAGCCGATAAGAATGACAAATCAGTCAAAGATTTAGTCATGTTACTTTTCGAAACTGCCCTCCTCTGCTCTGGCTTCTCTCTCGAAGATCCACAACGTCATTCCTCTCGCATCTATCGCATGATTAAACTTGGTCTCGGTATTGATGATGATGAAATTGCTGTCGGAGGTGATAAAGTAGATGAAGCTGAAATGCCTCCTCTGGAAGGTGATGCAGAAGATGCTTCACGAATGGAGGAAGTTGATTAAATCATTCATTTTCCCTAATTTTTTTTGCCCATGAAAGTAGCTTCTCAATGGATAATCCTAATTAATCAAACAGTTCTAAATATTGTTTTTATTCTATAATTGTCTTTTGTATTCATTGTTAACTACTTTCTATCTCATCCCTTTTTCAATCAAATTGTCATAAAATGTCAACCAACCCAACTCCCTTAATTTTTGTTAGTTAAACAATTAAACAAATTTCATTTAACAAAAAAACATTATTTATTTATCCTCGCAAATATCTCAATTAAAATATTCATTTTACATTTTATAAATTGAGCTTGTTATTAGCATTGATTATTGCCTTTATTCCCATATTTACGTCTTAATTTAGAGATCACGGTTGTATAAACTTGATTGTTGCGTTTAATGAAAGGAGATCTTCTCTTCTGATCTTCTGGGTCAATATGTTTAATACCAGGAGCATGAACCAAGAATGCATTGTCCAAAATCAAAAGATCATAGTTGAGTAAACACATTTCAAACATCTGAAAACGACAAGACAAAGAAAATGATTAGACTCCGGAGAATTGAATGATAACCATGTGGTTATGAGCACAAAATAGATTCAATATTTACCTGAGACATTTTATCTCGTTTACCTTCCCATGTTAATCTCTCATCGTAAAGAGGTTCAGCGTTAGTTCCAATATAAAGTGGTTCCCAAGTACTTCGAGTTCTAAGTCTTTTAGCAGATCGGAAAATATTCAGTGAATCATTACTTGGAATAGATTCAATCCATTTATCACGATCAGGGAAATTTTGACAGATATCACAAACCCATTTGTGGAAGAAAATAGCTTCACCTGGAAATAAGAATAGAAAATATGTAAGCAAAATTGAAAAATTGTTTTCGTTTTAAATTTTCATAATATTCTTCTCAAATTATTTACCTTTTTTGACCAACTGAATCAAATCATTTTTCGTTAAAGGTGGCTCGACTCCGGCATTAACCTCGAAAATGGGTAAAACATACACATGAGGCACATTTTGGTTAGCAAGTGGCACTAAATTAGCTTTCTCTCGATCTAAATACTCTTTGAACATTTTAACAACATTGATACTTGGATAGAGTTCAATATCAGAAGCAAGCAAATATTTTGTTTTCACATTTAATCGAGCAACATTACGGGCAACATTTATCGGGTACGGAAGCTTGTTTTTAAATCGATAGAGACTCGGATGTTTTGCAAAGAAATCTTCATATGTTGCTTGACAATTGAACTCGGTTAAATTAACATAATCTTCTGGATAAGTTACTTTGTCTTTATCTGGTCCATGGTTAATATCATAAATAAAATGCCAAGTAACATTACGAGCAACACATTCATGTCGACAAGTTCTCATAAAATAAATCAATTCAAGAGAAATGGCAATATCATCACCAGGTGCATAAACTCCAACCGATATTGGACCATCCCAACGTTTACAAAGAGCCTCAACGTGATTTAAAAATTCAAAAGTCCCTTGGGTAGTTAAGGTAACACTGACATCATTCTGGCTTTCATTGGCACTTAATTGAAGGTTATTTATCTTTGTCTCTGGCAGGATGTAATTCTTTATCACAATGTAACTATTACGTTGCTCTGTTGTCCACCATGCACTCCTTTGTCTGTATGTTAATTGAGATATTGTTGGTGCATTAAGAGATTCAGAGGCAACCATAGCTGCGCCAACGGCCGCAACCGCTGCTGCTTCACCCTTTTCACCATTGGTGAGCAGAGCATTTGAGGAAAATTTTAAACTTCTAGAGTCATCCGATATTGAAGAAATAATTTGCTGTTGAAGAAAAAAGAAATTAGTTAATTTGTTCAACTGAGTATAGTAAGTAATATTTACCTTTGATTGGGGATCATCTTGAAGCAAAGGTGATGGTCGGATATTCAATATACATGCCGCTGGCTTCGAGATAAAGTGGAATGACAAAAGTTGATAAAAGGCAAGGACTACATTCACCGTGATCAGAAGTTTGAGAAGATTACGAGAATCTAATCGAGCTAAGGATAACCATAATCTCATGATTATTTTATTATGAGAAGCTTTGGACTCGCTTTCTCTCAATATCTCGTATTTAGCCAGATTCAAAAATAGATTATATTCTTGGTTGAACGGTGTTGTTGTACAAATTGAGTGATGATGTTGATGACGAAAGTGAAAAATGGAAGGATGATATCAATAAATATTTTAAGTGAATAAATAGGCGAGCAATTATGAAAATTGGAAGAATCAAAGTGGCGGAAGATGTGGAAAAGACTAAAGTTTCAGTGAACGTGATAAACTTAAGGCAGAAAATATTTCGGACGATTGGATCACAGAGCTGCACCAAAAATTATATAAAGCACACCTAGACTTTTTTATTGCCAGATTGTTAACTTTTGATGACACCGAAGAAAACGTAAATTAAAGTTGCATTGAATATGAGTTTAACATTGAGATGGTAGCCTGTATAGCTGATAATGGTGATGAAAGCAATAAAGTCAATCAAACTTGTAAGTTACCAGATGCATTAGAACCATGGCTAATAAGTTATAACCATTTGATAATAAAAATAATTTCACTCGATGAAGAAAATCACATTGATCAGGATGTATATTCTAGATTAATGACACTTTTTACCAATATTTTAATCACAACAGGAATGGTTGAGTAGTGATGAAAAGATAAGATACAATTCCAACGTTGAACCCAAACAATAGACTCTTATTAGTATTGGTTATAAACAGCATTTTTGGTAGGGACAAGCTGATTTGCCCATTTGAATTCCTATATTAGATGAAAAAAAATGAAAAATAGGTAACTTGTAAATAGTAACTTGGAGGTGTCGAAGGTAACGAAGACAAGAAATGATATAAACAATTTCACACAATAATCAAGTGTTTCAGGCCAAGTGTATTTGTGGACAAAAAGGTTAGTAAAAGGTAAGGTTGGACTGGTTCTGGTTAAAAAAACTTGAAGGAATGGTCTCAACAACTAAAGAAAAACATATGACAAGGACAGGTAAAGGATGGGATCTGGCAAACACAGATATAAACAATAACGAGTTCAGTCACAAACAAACGAAATATTTTGACACCAGGTCAACCAATAAGAGTAAAGAAAGCAGATTAAATGTCTATTCTTACCTAGCAATGGTCAGGCGAAGGTTACTATGTTGACTTGAAATCGGGTAGAGAGATATAAAGCTGTTTGACCAGCGGATTAGACGGATAGAAGAATCAGAGTAAAGAGAGTTTAATCCATCCGATTAAGTATTGAGACCAGTGGCAATTTGATGGGCATTAGGAAGTATTGGTGTTGGTTTTAATTAAAGATGGCAAGTTTAATGATGAGAGAAGAAGAAAAATAATAAATAAAAAAATGAAATAACTAATAATAAGTAGTTGTTGCTTTGAAAAGAAAGCTTCTCATGCTGTTGTCCTATCCTTACAGTCAACAAAATCTTCTCTCTTTTTTTTCTCACTTGTCTTTTTCTGTCTCTCCCCAACGCCTCTTGGAGTGAGTCTTATTCAAAATATGATGATCAAAATGAATGACTGGAAGATTGAAAGTTGGGAAAAGAAAGGTAAAAGATGATTATAACCGAAATATCCTGGAGGCTAACAATTTTGGAAAAATTTTGATGATATGGCAAGTACCAGTGGAAGGATTGATGTTAAGGTAAGGTCGTTAGCCAACATGGAGCCATGAAAATGATCAGCATCTTCATCTCCTCCTCTTTATGACTGGCTATCTTACCCTTTCCTTTCATCCCAACTTTCAATCTTCACCTGATCATCATTATAACCATCATTAAACACCGAGAACAACAATAACAACATGGACATGGACAACATCAACAACAGGAGCAACAACAGCAACATAAGCATTGCGCTATTATGGATATAATTTTAATAAAACATCAATATATTAGTTGATTCCGCTTCAACAATCAATGGTTTAATGTTAATAACGATCTCCATTATCTCAATGTTGATGAACCATGTTAACATCATTTCCGTTTAAAGGTTCAAGCTCATCAGGATTCAAGTTGAATCTACCATTTGTACCTTCAATTTTTTATATTAATTTTGTCTTCTCTAAATGAATCTTCAGCTATTAATGATTATATTCCTGGTTAGTCCAAGAAAAGACGAATCGATGGATTTTTGTTCAACTCTAAATGATCAATTGAAATATTCAATTTACTTATTTTATCCGTTATTGATAGTTATCATAGCCACATAATTATCGTGTTAATTTCCCCTTTACCTGCAAATGGTCGTTTGCATGTTTACAGTTTAATTGCATCGATTAATATGGCAAATCTAATGGTAATAATTAAAATCATTACAACTCTTCTATGTAATGAATAGCAATAAAAATTTTGATCAAGTCCAAGTTGATTCATTTCAGAGTTACTTGCGCTTCGCCTGTGTTTGGTTAATTATTTTCACTGTTCTCAGTACCATTCAGTTAATTATTTAATTTCTGGTGCCTCTTCAATCGGAAATATCCTTGACAATCGGAGTTGATTGTGAAAAATATTCATTATTAGCAATAATTTATAGCTATCCATCAAAAAATATAGTTTTAAGGTAAACTTGAGAGGTTCATTTGAAATTGCTCAATTGAATTACAATCAAATACATCTGCTGATACATCATCATAACTACTTTTTACAATCAAGGTTAAACTGTAATAACCAGTCAAAGTGATGGACAATTGAAAGTATAGTTAAACAATGATTTAACCATTGATCAATGTCAGTTGACTTGAGATTCAACATTCGATTCTTATTATCATGCTTTTGTTAATTCACTTTTATTTGTAAAGGTAAATGGAAATGTAAATTTTAAAAATAAATTTCAATACAAATGGTGATTTAATTAGATTAAGGTTGAGTCAATAAAAATGCGTTTAATTGTGATCAAGAATCTTGAATACTGAATGTTAAGTAAGAAGTAAAAAGTTAACCAAAGAAAAGTGATTTAAAACCAGAATCTCTGGTTTAAACCATTTTTGGGTTCAACGCTGGTATCAATTGAACTTTCTAATTCTCATCTTGCAGCAATCAGGTTAATGACTGCGTTTGAGCTTTAATTTATTTTAAATTGTCTATTTTCAATTTGTCTTTTTGTCTTTTCAACACTTTCAGCCTTTTAATTGTTTCTCATTCATTCTATTAACTAGATTGTCCGTCAGTTAAACACGTATTTACAGCCTTGCTCTCAATTGAGGTCAATTTCTCATTTTCCTCATCAAATTTAACCATTGCAATCAGGTCATTTATTAAGTGATTCATCAATTGTTTTCTTTAACCGGAAGACAACAAAACATGTCAACAAGTTTACAATTAACTCATTGAATCTTTATCATGTCCAGCTAATAACGATTGAACATATACATACTTGATTGTTGGAAAATGTATGTTTTATTGGTCAAATCCAATGTTAAATCTTAGCCATTAGGCTTGAACTGGTGAATTATCGTTCACTATTTAAAATTATTTTCTAGATACTGTATTTGATCAAATGTTTATTGTGGTTGAATCAGTTAGCCTACCGTCAGATTACCTTCAGTGCCATTGAGTATCTCCGCATTTATTAAAAAACAGTAATGAAGCTTCTTTAAGCTTTCGTGGTTATCTGCTTATTGAAAACTAATAAAAACTCATCAATGAATCAATTGATACCTCAATTAACTCTATTTATTTTGATATAACTTAATCTTCTCTTGAACCAAGTCAATTAAAACTAACAATAGCTAATCATCAAACACAAACAAAAAGGATAGCCAATTGATAAATATGGGAATAAAATTTGGTAACAGTCTCGATCTGAGGACAAAGGCTGGGCTTATACATATGTTTTATATTTCACACTTTTTTAAACCAATGGCATTGAATTGAAAACATAATTAAGTAAACAAAATATTTCAGTTTAGTGGACTGTTCTTTAACCGAGGAATACAATTGAAATATTTAGCAAAATTGATTCCTGGATGTTCCTCATGCAATTGTGCTAACTTAGGAACAAAATTTCTTGGTTTTAAAGTATTGAAAAACTGATTATCTGAATTCATATTCATCAAATCAAACTAAAGGAAAGGAAACAGTAAGTCAGACGATATCGGCTAACCAGCCAATACTCTTAACTCATCTGTGTTTGGCTCTATTTTCTGTGTTTTATTATAATTTAACATTTAATCTAAATTAATTGAATTCAATTATAGTTAAATTTTAATTTGTGTGACACCATTCTATCCTCAGCATTCAAAAAGACATCAGCTATTGGATAATAATTTAAATGTCTTTGAAACAGGTGTAAAAGCCCCTCCTCTGTCCCTAGATCGAGACTGTTACCTAAAATTTTAGGTGAAGGTACGCATTAACATGTGTTAGGCCTTGATAAATATCTAAATCAAACGCAATCGACTGAGCAATATGAGCTTGTGAGCTTGAACAAACTCGAGTTCTAAAGTCAATACTGTAAAATACAATGTAATTAAATCTTCAATTACCTTATTGAGAGAAAACTTGTCTCATTGGTTTCTTTCTTTTTGAATCTCCCTCTCAATGTAACCAAAAGGTTGCTTCGTAACCAGGAAAAGTAACCGGTTACAGTAACCATGAAGTTGCTACATATGTAACTCATTTAAAACTTTGTTTTTGAAACAAAATCTTCCAGGGAGAGATTATTACTGATTTGCCTACCTATTCAGCCAGATTAAGTTATAGCCATTATGGTATCAGAGGAGTTAGTTCATAATTTAATCAAAGAAAAATTGCAACCCTCGCATTTGGTAAGTAATCATCTCTATTGATTTTCAATTGTAACACCGTGAATAAAACTGATTTCATTTTTTCATTGCCTTTTTTGACCCTTGTTGACAGACGGTTGAAGATGTTTCTGACGGCTGTGGAGCCAAGTTTAATTGTGTGATTGTCTCAAGTCAATTCGAAGGGAAACCATTATTGGAGCGACATCGGATGGTTCATAGTGCTTTAGAAGGAATCATATCATCGATTCACGCTTTAACTATAAAAACCTATACTGCGGAACAATTTAATAAGATTTCATCGTCAAGTTAAGATTGCTTTTCGAAATTTCGTTTGGAGCTGTTCTAATTTTTGAGCCTTGAAGTCTTAAAAATAACGAATCAAGAAAATTATGGAATTATAATCAATTCTATTTCTCCGTGTACATCAAATATAAATTTAGTTTCTTTTCAGATTATCAAATTGATGAAAATTGTTTCTAAATAACGTTAAACTCACTCGCAAATTGTTCAATATCTCTTGCTTCATTCCAGTTTGTTTTCAGTTTATCTCTTAACCTTTTGCAATATTTCGATTGATCCTTAATCATGTTAATTAGGCATCGTAAGCATCATGATGAAGCTTATCAATGATCATGCTAGTCAGAAACAATTTTTCTCAAATTTGTCATATCTTAACTAAAACTTATCCTTTTAGTAGGTTCAAACGGTATTTGCCTTTTTTGAATTTAGTTTCTTCAACCTCAACAGTCTCTCTTTAGATAAGACAATAAACGACATTCACTAAAAACAGATCGCGAAATATGTCAAGATGATGATCAAGATGTCAAATAGCGAGATAAAGTGATTAAAGTTTAGAGGCTAATTTCGAGCTCTTGGATTGGGCTTCGAGTTAAAATGACAAATATATTATTGAGTATGTGGCAACCTAGTCGACTATTTGCTGTACGAGTTGAAGTGGCCAGAGAAAGTCATATTAGTCAACTATTTGTTATTTAATAAAAACACAAAAAAAAATTAGTTAATAGTTTATGAAAAATGGAAAAAACAAAAAAGGAAAAAAATCAGTTTTTCGACAATGGTTGACCTATGAGTGACTCAGCAAATTTTTGACCCAGGTCAATCTCTAAGTTAGCTCATATCGATGTATCGCATGCCCGGTTGACCTGCGTAGTTCCGAAGATATTTGAGGTCAAACATCCGGAGTTGATTTTCTAAGACCCTTGCTTCCGTAGTTTTTGCTATTGTTTGATTTTACAATGTTTATTAATGAACTTCCAGATGAGTGTTTACTCACCATTTTTGATTACTTGAATAACTTTGATGATTTAGCGAACTGCTATAAAGGTAATTACCAAAACATTTACATTTTTATCATTTTATAAAAATCATAATTCATTGAAGTTTTACATACCTTCAGCGATAAGCTCAATTTTTTGAGTAGCTAGTCAACATTCGATGTTCAAGTTAGATTGACCAGAGAAAGTCTGACTCTGAGTAGTGAAATGAATAATAATTTATTTTAAAAGTTCCATCTGAATCAGTTGTGTTCCTGTGATCATAACGGTTGAGGTTATATGTACACAAAGATACATCCGATATCTGTATCTGATACCACCAATAATAACTAACAATTGTAAATTTTTCGTTTAATGAATAGAAAAGCCTTAATCTGAAGAAGGGACAAGAATTTTTGAGCATTTTAATGATGTTGATGAATTGAAGAAAGGATTTAAATAAAAATTTAATAATGGATTCAACTGATCTCAAATCATTCTAACAGATATCTGTTTCAAATTTTGCGGTAAAAAAATTGCACTCGTCTAAGTTTCTAAAAACTAAAAATTTATCAAAACTAGAATCGAACCCTGACCATAACCTTTGACTTCTCTACACTCTAACCACTGAGCTAGGAATTAATTTTCAAGTTTAGATAAAACTTATTGAGTGTATTGTTCAAACAGGCATTGGTGAATGAAGTCAATACGTTAAACTCATCCCTCTGGCGTTAAGTTACATTAATGTATGCATTATTTGAGTAGGATTTGATAAAATTGATCAAAAAATTAACTTTTAATCAATTATTAAACTATTATTTGATCCTTTCCATTCAACATCATTATGTGTACGGTTAACTCAATAGTTAAAGATGCACAGATTTGTGTACATATAACCTGTTCCGATCATAACATCACTCAATCATCTGACTGTTGAGGCGCAGTATTTGAATATTTTTACAGATTAAGTAATTTTTTGTTGGTTATGTAGCAATTGAATAATCAAATTTGGTCAATAAAATTTCATTCCAGTGTGTATCAAATGGAGCCATTTAATCGCTGAGCGAACGAGGAAAGTTAAATATTTGATGGGTAAGTTTTAAATTTTCATTGATTCTTACTCTAATTGTGATCAATTTTTTAGTTTCAGAATTTTCAAAGGATCCTGACTATTCATCTGATCTTGTTTATTATCAAGGACTAGATTTGAGCACTAGATATAAAACCTTGCTGAGCACATTATTTTCAAATTTACCAGTAAGTTTATATTATTGATCAAATACCTTTTTGCATTTTTCATTTCATCAATTTTCTTTATCTTATTCTCTTAGATTTTGCACAATCCAAATATATATAATTCAGATTTTATTTATATTGTAATTGAACTCTTAAAGAAAGTAATAGATTTTGAAAAAAAAGAAAAAGAGCTTGAAAATGAAACAGAAGATCTTGAAAAATTAGAACAATTTTTCTTCTTAAAGAGACATCTTAAATCTTTGAAAGGAATAATCAATTGCTGTGATGTAAATATAAATATAGAAATACTTTGTGATAAACTCGAAATGCTATCTTCCTTTCGTATTGAGCCAGGTAGTCTAAAAAATGGTTCCAGTATAAAGCAATTGCACACGGAGTATGATGATGAGGATTTCGAAAGAGTTGCACATCATTTCCCGAACCTTGAAAGGCTACATATTAACCTCGTTGGTATTTATTATATAAATATTTTGTCAAAACGTTTGTTTATGAAAATCAATCTTTCATCCGCAGATGGTCTCTGGGAAAGTCCAGTACTTGAGCAACTTAAAATACTTGAACTGAAATTACGAGCTTGGCACGATTTTTCTTTGGCTTTCCTGTTCCTGGATTTATGTCCAAATTTACAAAGTGCGCATATTACCGTGAATATTAATCACTTTTCGGTTAATGAAAGATTGAAAAACGAAAGTTTGCAAGATTTAGTTATAGATTATTATGTAAGTATCAAAACTACCTGAAATTTCATTGCTTTTTGAAAATATTTTCGGAATACAAATGAGTCGATCTATTTCAGCTTAAAATCAATCAGGTTAAGTCAACATGGTCATTTATTCAAAATTTATCAATATAAACTAATTTATTTTATATTAATAGGATGGCCCTAACCGTGTCGACTGGAATGATTTAAAAAGAGCGCTCACCAAATATCCGAACCTGAAACATCTTTCGTTGAGGAGCCTATTTTGCATAAAAGATGAACATATCAAACAATTTGTTCCCATTTTACCCAATTTAGTACTATTTGATATTTATGATTGCCCTGCAGTCACTCAAAGAGCTGCTGATTATGTCCAAGATTATTGTAAAAGATATGGACGATCAATCAAGTTTTACTTCAAAGGAAATCGCGATGAACTCGTGTCAGATTGGCCTCAGTTATCCACTAGAAAAGAAAAAATTAGTCAAGGCTTTGATTTCATGAAACATTGCTTTCTTAAAGATTTTGATGACCTTCCATGTTTCTTGATTCCTAAAGATTATTGAAAACCACATACTCATCAATATAAATATTTGTCATTTTAACTCGAAGCCCATTCGAAGAGCTTGAAATTAGTCTCTAAACTTCCATCACTTTATTTCGCGATCTGTTTTTCAGTGAATTAAATCTATTTTTTGATCTTAAGAGATGTCTTTGTTAATGAATATTAATATCTATGTTACTCTTTATCTCGGAACCCATTCGAAGAGTTTGTATTCAACCTTTTTTTGGCATCACTTTACATCACTGTATTTCATTATTTGTTTTTAGTGAATAAATGAGTCTCTAATCTAAAGAATTGCCGTTGAGGCTAAAGAAGCTTCAGATTAAATAAAGTGAAAATGAGATGAATCCTACAAATTATCTCGATATAAATGTACTGCTGAAATCTATGTGAATAAAAATTAAATTATACATTCTAATGACCAACCAAATTTAGTGATTCACATTTCCGTTTTTTAGCTAGTAGAGTCTAAAAGCACAATAAACAAGACAAAACTAGTTTGCCATAAGTTTATTTTACAATGTTGATTAATGAACTTCCATATGATTGTTTACTCACCATTTTTGATTATTTGAATTACTTGGATGATCTGCTATAAGGTAATTACCAACTCATTTACATTTGTATCATGAAAGTCTTACATACGTTTGTATATGAGTCGATTAACTTCTGACTCTGAGTATTTTCATAAAACTTTTATCTGAATGAAACATTTTGTTATCATGTGATCATAACAAAACTCAATCATCTGATTGTTGACGCGCAGTATTTGAATATTTTTACAGATGTTAAATCAAGTTGTGTTAATTCTGGAGGCAGTTGATTAATGCTTGATCACATTAGCACTTAATTTTAGTAATTCAATGAAAATTTCATTTCAGTGTGTATCAAATGAAGCTATTTAATTTCTGAGCGAACAAAAAAAGTTAGATATTTGGTCGGTAAGATTCAAGTTTTCATTAATTCTAATTCTCATTGTGATCAGTTTATTAATTGCAGAAATTATTATTAGGTAAAACTGATTATTAATTGGATTTAATTCATTAGAAATCAGGAGATTTTATTGATGACACATTTCCGAGCCCATTATTTCCAAATTTAATAGTTCTTCAGTCTTCAGTCTCTTCGAACATAACTCGTTTCTGTAAACTCTTTTATATTATTTTTAAGCACAACAGTTCCAGATATTACACGATTAGCCAAGGTATCATTCACAGTGGGATGTTGGCAAAAAGCATCATGACTTGGTTGAATACGATAAGCTTTGTGATCAAATCGAAGATTAGCGAAAAACTGAACAATTTTAGATGCTACTCTGAATCCAACGATATTGACTACTTGAGCGCAAAACGACGGATTGGTTCAGAGTTTTGTATAAAAATAGTTCTTAGTTAGGACTTTCACTTGAGGTAAAGAATTTTTTCATAGTACTCAGGTCGCGTATCATATCGTATCTAACTTTGAAAGTTCTCCATTCGATTAAATCTCCATCAAAATGACTCACCCTGATGACCCTTCAATGCTGATTCCACAACTGTATTAAAATAGATCGCAGTTTGAATTCGATTTTTCAAAATAACACAAATTGACTCGGTTTAATAGAAATAATAGGTTTAATGGATTTAGTGGTCAATCAGATTGAGACAGAATGATTTTCATGAATAAAGAAAAGAAACAAATTCCTAACAAAATGAGAGCTAGAAAGAGTAGATAATAGTGTTTCCCTGATATTTTTTCTGAGTATAGGAACACATTGAGCAATTGGTTCGTACTTTCACGTGATCTGGTTCTATTTAATGTTCCTGGATGAGTTGAAGTGACTCAAAGAGCTTCTGATTAAGTTCAAGATCATTGTAAACGATATGGAAGTTTTACTTCAATGATGATTAAAACCAAATCAAATCAGATTGGCCTCATTTATCCACTAAACAAGAAAAAGTTAGTCGTGGCTTTGATTTCCTGAAACATTGTTTTCTTAAAGATTTTGATGACCTTTCACATTTCTTGATTCCTATTGGTTATTGAAAACCACATACTCATCAATATATTTGTCATTTCAACTCGAAGCCCAATCCAAGAGTTTGAAATTAGTCTCTAAACTCTCATCACTTTATTTTGCGATCTGTTTTTTAGTGAATTAAATCTATTTTTTTATCTTAAGAGATGTCTTTGTTAATGAATATTAATATCTATGTTACTCTTTATCTCGGAGCCCATTCGAAGAGTTTTTATTCAATCTCTACTTTTGTAACACTTTATGCCATTATTTGTTTTGTGAATAAAATGCATCGTCTAATCTAAAGAATTACCGTTGAGGCGAAAGAATGAGCTTCAGATGAAATTAAGTGCGATGAGATGAATCCTACAAATTATCTCAATATACTGCTGACATCTATGTGAATTAAATTTAAATTATACATTCTTGTGACCAATCAAATTATGTGAATCGCATTTAACTATTTTTCCGTTTTTTAATTGTAAAGTTTATAAGCCAGTTAGTTCTTTACTCTTTGTTACAAGCACAAGATTCAAGACAGAACTAGTTTTTGCTATAATTTGATTTTACAATGTTGATTAATGAACTTCCAGATGATTGTTTACTCACCATTTTTGATTACTTGAATAACTTGGATGATTTAATAAACTGCTATAAAGGTAATTACCGACTCATTTACATTTTTATCATAAAAATTATATAATTCATTGAAATTTTCCATACCTTCAGTGATAAGCTCAATTTTTGCGTAGCTAGTCAACATTCGATGTTCTAGTTGAAATAGTCACTAGCTTCTGACTCTGGGTAGTGAAATGAATAATAATTTATTTTAAAAGTTCCATCTGAATCAGTTGTAATCCTGTGATCATAACATCACTCAATCATTTGATTGTTGAGGCGCAGTATTTGAATATTTTTAAAGTTTAAGTAATTTTTTGTTGGTTATGTAGCAATTGAATAATCAAATTTGGTCAATAAAATTTCATTCCAGTGTGTATCAAATGGAGCTATTTAATTGCTGAGCGAACGAGGAAAGTTAAATATTTGCTGGGTAAGATTCAAACTTTCATTAATTCTTACTCTTATTGTGATCAATTTTTTAATTGCAGAATTTTCAAAGGATCCTGCCTATTCATCTGATCTTGTTTATTATCAAAGACTAGATTTGGGCACTAGATATGAAACATTGCTGTACACATTATTTCCAAATTTACTAGTAATTTAATATTAATAAGCAAATATCTTTACGGATTTTTCATTGAATAACAATTTTCTTTATCTTATTCTCTTAGATTTTGCACAATTTAACTTTATATGATGCCGCTTTTGTTCGTAGAGTACCGGTATTTGCTTTCTTAAATAAATTAAAAGATGTTGCAAAGAAAAGAAAAGATCTTGAAAGATTTGATCAAGGTTTCAGGGTTCTTAAATCTTTGAAAGGAATCATCAATTGCTGACATGAAAATATAGAAATACTTTGTGATAAACTGGAATTGTTATCCTCCAGTCGTATTGAGCCAGGTATCCTACAGAAGGGTTCCAGTATAAAGCAATTGCACACTTGGTATGTTTATGAGGATTTCAAAAGAGCTGCGCATTATTTTCCGAATCTTGAAAGACTACAGATTCTTATCGATGGTATTTATTATATAAATATTTTGTCAAAAACGTTTGCTTCTGAAAATCAATCTTTTATCCGCAGATAATCACTACAAAGGTCCCGTACTTGAAAAGCTTGAAATACTAGAAATGAAATTATTATCTCATCATGAGATTTGTTATGCTTTCCAGGTCATGGATGCATGTCCAAATTTAAAAAGTGCACATCTTCTCGTTCATACTAATCGCTTATTTGTTGATGAAAAATTGAAACAAAAATGTTTGCAAGATTTAGTTATAGATTATGTAAGTATCAAAACCATTTGAAATTTCATTGCTTTTTTTATTAATATTTCGGAATACAAATGATTAGATCTATTTCAGCTTCAAATCAACCAGTTTAGGTTACGTCAACATGGTCATTTATTGAAAATTTGTATTAGAGTTTTGTATAAAAATAGTTCTTAGTTAGGACTTTCACTTGAGGTAAAGAATTTTTTCATAGTACTCAGGTCGCGTATCATATCGTATCTAACTTTGAAAGTTCTCCATTCGATTAGACCTTCATCAAAATGACTCACCCTGATGACCCTTTAATGCTGATTCCACAACTGTATTAAAATAGATCGCAGTTTGAATTCAATTTTTCAAAATAACACAAATTGAATCAGTTTAATAGAAATAATAGGTTTAATGGATTTAATGGTCAACCAGATTGAAACAGAATGATCTTCATGAATAAAGAAAAGAAACAAATTCCTAACAAAATGAGAGCTAAAAAGAGAAGATAATGCTGTTTCCCTGATATTTTTTCTGAGTATAAGAACACATTGAGCAATTGGTTCGTACTTTCACGTGATCTGGTTCTATTTAATGTTCCTGGATGAGTTGAAGTGACTCAAAGAGCTTCTGATTAAGTTCAAAATCATTGTAAACGATATGGAAGTTTTACTTCGATGATGATTACAACCAAATCAAATCAGATTGGCCTCATTTATCCACTAAACAAGAAAAAATTAGTCGTGGCTTTGATTTCATGAAACATCGCTTTCGCAAAGATTTTGCTGACCTTCCACATTTCTTGGTTCCTATTGATTATTGAAAACCACATACTCAATAATATATTTGTCATTTTAACTCGAAGCCCAATCCAAGAGCTCGAAATTAGCCTCTAAACTTTAATCACTTTATTTCGCGATCTGTTTTTAGTGAATGTTGTTTATTGTCTTATCTAAAGAGAAACTGTTGAGGTTGAAGAATCAAAGCAATAAATAAATTTTGAATTACAGAGGTTTCATAATATCGGAAAAGGGAAAAAATTCCCACAATATTTTCGTGGTGTCTAAAAATCAATCTCAGGTTGTCGAGCAATCTTGCACCATGACTTGATCAAAGTAAAATATTTATCCATTCTTTACGACTGTGAAACCTTATTCGATTGCATACAATTAGATAATGGATTAGCATTCAATAATTTCATTAAAACATCGATTAATCGATTGGTTAACAAAAAACAAGAAACCATCAAAAATAACAATTTGTTGAGAATTCCCCGAAAATTCAGCGTGAAAAACAAAAACTTCACAAGATAGATTTTGTATGTTTACCAATCGATTAACTTTTTGTCTGATCGATAATTCTTTTACTTAAGCCAGTCAATTAAAATTGTAATCGATGTAATCGTACACCTCTAGTTACATATGTACACAGTAAAGTTTACAAGCACAATTAACAATGCAAAACTAGTTTTTGCTATCATCGCATATTACAATGTTGATCAATGAACTTCCAGATGATTGTTTGCATACCGTTTTTGATTATTTGAATGACTTAGATGATTTAATAAACTGCTATAAAGGTAATTATCAATCATGTTTTTTTGTATCATGAAAATCATATACAGTTAAACCTCGCAAAGGTTGTATGAAATTTAGTAACGCTATCTTTGGGATTTAAGAATTAATGAAAATTTAGAACTTACCCATCAAATATTTAGCTTTCCTCGTTCGCTCAGCGATTAAATGGCTCCATTTGATACACACTGGAATGAAATTTTATTGACCAAATTTGATTATTCAATTGCTACATAACCAACAAAAAATTACTTAATCTGTAAAAATATTCAAATACTGCGCCTCAACAGTCAGATGATTGAGTGATGTTATGATCACAGGAACACAACTGATTCAGATGTAACTTTTAAAATAAATTATTATTAATTTCACTGCTCAGAGTCAGACTTTCTCTGGTCAATTTAACTTGAACATCGAATGTTGACTAGCTACTCAAAAAATTGAGCTTATCGCTGAAGGTATGTAAAACTTCAATGAATTATATGATTTTTATAAAATGATAAAAATGTAAATGTTTTGGTAATTACCTTTATAGCAGTTCGTTAAATCATCAAAGTTATTCAAGTAATCAAAAATGGTGAGTAAACACTCATCTGGAAGTTCATTAATAAACATTGTAAAATCAAACAATAGCAAAAACTACTCAATAGTATTTGATCAAATGTTTATTGTGGTTGAATCAGTTAGCCTACCGTCAGATTACCTTCAGTGCCGTTGAGTATCTCCGCATTTATTAAAAACAGTAATGAAGCTTCTTTAAGCTTTCGTGGTTATCTGCTTATTGAAAACTAATAAAAAACTCATCAATGAATCAATTGATACCTCAATTAACTCTATTTATTTTAATATAACTTAATCTTCTCTTGAACCAAGTCAATTAAAACTAACAATAGTTAATCATCAAACACAAACAAAAAGGATAGCCAATTGATAAATATGGGAATAAAATTTTAGGTGAAGGTACGCATTAACATGTGTTAGACCTTGATAAATATCTAAATCAAACGCAATCGACTGAGCAATATGAGCTTGATCTTCAGCATAATAATTACATAAATCAATCTTGTATCAATTTTTAGGGAAATAATTGAACTAACCTGCGGCTGATTTTAAAAATGTTTGTCAGACTCAAAATTTTTAATCTCTCTAATTTTGGTAATGACCAATGGCTTGTACCAAAAGCTATTAATAGTTCACAAGTCAATCCTTAGTCAATCCTTTCCCAATTGCTTTATGTATACCATTATCCTAATTATTACCGACGTTTCAACTAATTTGTAACATTTCTTCTCACAGGTAATATTATTAGTACATAATGTAAAGCAATGCGAATGTCTCCATCAATAATGTTGTGTTGGCTGAATTTGAACAAACTCAAGTTTTAAAGTCAATACTGTAAAACACAATGTAATTAAATCTTCAATTAGCCAACGTTACCTTATTGACAGAAACTTGTCTCATTGGTTTCTTTCTTTTGAATCTCCCTCTCAACGTAACCAAAAGGTTGCTTCTTAACCAGGAAAAGTAACCGGTTACAGTAACCATGAAGTTGCTACATATGTAACTCATTTAAAACTTTGTTTTTGAAACAAAATCTTCCAGGGAGAGATTATTACTGATTTGCCTGCTTTTTCAGCCAGATTAAGTTATAGCCATCATGGTATCAGAGGAGTTAGTTCATAATTTAATCAAAGAAAAATTGCAACCCTCGCATTTGGTAAGTAATCATCTCTATTGATTTTCAATTGTAACACCGTGAATAAAACTGATTTCATTTTTTCATTGCCTTTTTTGACCCTTGTTGACAGACGGTTGAAGATGTTTCTGACGGCTGTGGAGCCAAGTTTAACTGTGTGATTGTCTCAAGTCAATTCGAAGGGAAACCATTATTGGAGCGACATCGGATGGTTCATAGTGCTTTAGAAGGAATCATATCTTCGATTCACGCTTTAACTATGAAAACCTATACTGCGGAACAATTTAATAAGATTTCATCGTCAAGTTAAGATTGCTTTTCGTAATTTCGCGTGGAGCTGTTCTACTTTTTTCAATTTTTAAGCCTTTAAGTCTTAAAAATAACGAATCAAGAAAATTATGGAATTATAATCAATTCTATTTCTCCGTGTACATCAAATATAAATTTAGTTTCTTTCCAGATTATCAAATTGATGAAAATTGTTTCTAAATAACGTTAAACTCATTCCCAAATTGTTTCAATATCTCTTGCTTCATTCCAGTTTAAGTTTTATTTTTGTTTATCTCTTAACCTTTTGCAATATTTCGATTGATCTTTAATCATTTTAATTAGCCATTGTAACCATCATGATAAAGCTTATCAATGATCATGCTAGTCAGAAACAATCTTTCTTAAATCTGTCATATCTTAACTAAAACTTATCCTTTAGTAGGTTCAAACGGTATTTGCCTTTTTTGAATTTAGTTTCTCCATGTTAAATAGCAGCCAGGATTACTAGTTCTAGTAAACAAAATTGAAAATCATGAAATTTTGAATTGCCTGAGAAATAGTCTTACGAGTTGTTAGCTATTTCCAGAGAGCCACAACTTGCAACTTACAAGTCCTGAGTCAGGACTCTTGACTGTACAATGAAAGTTTGTGATTAAATGTGAAATAAAGATAATCTATTTACTAAAGTAGAGCACGATATTATTTCGCGTTTTATTAAAATTCAAATAATAAGTCTATGTAGGAATATACAAATATATTCTTAAATTATCAATCCAACTTTGATTTATGGGAATATGCAACCCACCAGACAAGAATTGAAATAACGGTGGCAATCAATTCAGTTTGCAACCATGGACCTCGGTAAGTTCCGGGATGAGAGAAATTGATTTTAAATAATGGAGTAACATCTTCTTTGCTCTCTTTTCTTTGAGCTCTCTTCAAATTACTCAATCCTTCTTCGTCATGAATTTTAATCTCATAACTGGCAGAGTATGATTTTGCCAAATCAGCAGTCCATGAAACTTGGAATCGACTTCCATCACTCGACTTGGCTACCGGTAAAATTTTATTGTTACCAATATCAGCATAAAGTACTAAAGAATCTAAAGAAGCAGCAATAATAAGATAAAAAACAGATATTTAATAAAAGTAACAGACTGGCTCACTTTGCTAAAATCACCAGATTACAATGATTTACTTACCAGGCTTAGCTGCGTCTTTGCAGTTAACATTGAAATTAACAACATAGGCTGTCTCAGAGATGACAAGTCCATCAGTGGTTGAATAGGAAGATGATTGAACATCACCGACTTGGCAACCTGAAAAAGACCAAAAATTTAAGATGACATGACTGTACAAAGAAAATGGTAAAAGAAATGAATAGCAAAAGGATAAAAATTAACATACCTAGGGTGATACCAAGAAAAGATAGAAAAATTACAATTGAACTAATTTTAGAAAACATGTTTATTAATAATTGATTTGATAAACACAATTAACTTTAAAGAGTCACCAGAAAACTAAATTCAAAGCCGCCGTGTTTTGAATGTACACGTAGAAGGGGACTGTTCAAAAATTGAATCTTGTAATTACAGTAATGTAGCAATTTTTAAAAAGTAATGTTAACTACTGAGAAATTTAGGTTAATTTAATCAAATTTGGCAGAAAATAACTTAATAACAGTTATTTAGTCCACTATAGAAGTAATTCAGAGAATCAAATCATAATAATTATTTTCTGTAATATAATAAATGATTTGAAAAACTGAGTTTTGATTGTAAATCAATTTACCTTATCGTCGATAATCATCAGAATATATTCTGTTTCCTTCCCACTAATGGACACTGGAGTGAATATCAAATTAATAATCATTAAATTATTCCAATGGTTTCTATGATTCTGTTTACAATTGATAACCCGTTATTAAATATCTTTTCATTCGTTTATCCAAGGATTTCCTGGTCATTATTTTTTACTGAATTGATAAAATAAACATGAGCTTGTTATTAACAAAAACCGTTTGATTGTCAGTGAGAGTTGAAAGTAAACCATTTTTAATCATCTTTTGAATTTTTTAAACAATATCGAAACAATGCAAACTGCCTAATTGATTGATACGGACAAAAGACGAAGATTGGATCTGCTTGAAAATTTATCAGTTACGTCTTGAAGGATACCGTTATATCTAGAAAATAGACAAACCCAAAATAATTGACATCAATAGACTGAAACTACCCAATATTTGCTATTCTTTGCATCAAATTACGATCTTTTAAAGTCTAGCGATTTTCAACGTAATTGGATTTTTCGCAGCTCCAAAGTATCGATTACTTTGATAGCTGCAAGCTTTGAGGAACATAAAGTTGGTAAAAAACAGTTATGGCTTTATTCAATGCTATTTACTTTGAATCAAAAGTAGAAATGTTTATAAATTATTAATTGAAATGAATGCGGACTCTCAATGAGGTTTGTTGGTATTCATCCAGATCATTCAATTCTTATAATATTCTTATAATACAAGTGGCATCGCCTCGTACAATACTTCAAAAGTCCGCTTCTCGCTTAAGCTTGTATAAATATATTAAATATTGTTCAAAATGTGACTGACATCTACTTCAAAAAAATATCAACTCATTATTTAACGTCAATGTTTTATTGATTGTTTATTGACGATTTTATACCAATTAGTTCAACTAATCATTTTGTTCCATCATTAGTATCAGCAACATTTTATATCATAAGAGCAGAAAGAAATGGATGAAACTTGGAGTGAGAATGTTATGGTGAAAATGTTTTCGTCCATTGATTGAAGTATGAAACAAATTGGTTGAAATGTAAGTCAATCAATAAAAAAGTATTATTTCAGTGATAAATAAACTCGACCCATTCAACACAAGTATTAAAGATGTATATTTTAAACAAATTGTTCAACTGGATGTCAAATAAAAATAGCAAAAAATATCCAAAAGTGTCGATGAATTCATTCTCATCTCGATTTAATCTGATTGTTTCATCGACAAATGGTTTGCTAGGAAATGCTTTGTTTCTTTTGTTGCTTATATCGACTCAGTTCAGAGTTTTGGTCAAATTAGGCGACACTTCATTAAATTCAACATTTTCGGTTCGCCCTGAAACCATAATCTACTTTCTCATTGAAATCTATCTCTTAAGCCTTTTTCACTTTAAATTTAATGAAAAATTTCTAACCCAAGTTCAACAAATATGGAAATCGTTAAACATTGACTTTGACCAGTCAACTCGACGTTACTTTTGCACCCAAAGATCAAGTTACCGTAAAATGATGACAGTTAGTTACTTTGCTATGTGGATCTCCGACCTGGTACTTGATCCAGCCATTTGGCCATATACATCGGTTAGCCCATCAAAGAATTGGATTGAAACGCTAATGAGCGAACCAGCGATGAAATTTTGGTCCCGAATCTTTGTTCTTGTTATTCTTTATCCAGTCTGTTGATGCAGAATTTATCATAATTGATTCAGCATTCATGGTTCAATCTGCTCTCCATTACATCAACAGTCGACTTGCCATTATTGACAAACAGTTGAAGATGAACGATATGAAATTGGACATTGAAGTTATTCAGGATTTGCGATTGAAATACGTGTTAACTCATCGTTTGGTGGCGAGATTGGGTTCATTCGTGAATCCCTGTTTATTTGGCATGTTTTCATATTATGTCTCAATTTTGAATGCTAAAATTTACAATTTACTGTTCATTGAAAACAATCGTTTCGATTTAAATTTTTTGTTCCTCGATTTAATTGGTGAAATTGGCGAGGTGTTTGTACTTACTAAATCAATTGTTACAATAACAACTAAATCTCGTGCATTTCATGCAACATTGTACAAACTAACCTTTCAAACTGGTTCATTTGAGTATCTAAATGAGGTGAAGAGCATCTTTTGCCGAGATTATCCAATTTGACAAAATCAAACTAAAACAATTAATTGATTTGTTTTCATTTTTGCTTACAGATTTCACTATTCCTTTATCGGATGAACTTGAATAATATTGCATTCTCATTTGGAGGCATTTTCATGATAACGCCAGACTTCATATCGTCATTGATTGCTGTAACGGCTACAATCGTTATTGCGACTCCATCATTCATACATGTGTTTTGAGTAATCAACTTATACGTTTAATAAATAGCCATCAGCTCATCGGATTTCGCAGTTTCGCACAATTTCAATGTTTCAAGTTCAACGTTTTCGAGTCATGTTACTCTTGGCTTTTTTCAAACAACTGACGCGGACACAAATGAAAATTGAATTTGTATGAAAATATACAAATTGTAATGTAATGTTGAGACCCAGGAATCAGACAAACCCAAAATTGACGTTTATTAATTTCCCATATTCCGTTTATTCAAGCATTTCCTGGTCATTATTTTTTACTGAATTGATAAAATAAACATGAGCTTGTTATTAACAAAAACCGTTTAATTGTCAGTGAGAGTTGAAAATGAAAACACAATTCAATACAATAAAATGACACCATTTTCATTTCACTTTCTATCAACTTTTATTTACTTGCATTAATAAACTAACAACACATCACGTCTAAGCCTGAAATTACTGATTAATTGCTGATTGCAGTTACTCATAGTCACATAATTTAACTGGAAAATCCTAATTTCATTGTATATTTTAAATCATTTAATACACTAAAACACAAATCTTTTAGTCTTCTAATTAAGCATATCCGAAGCTTGAATTTTTATGCTTTGTTGTTTTACAGATGAGATTCATATCGCAAATTAATACATGATACATTTATAAATTTGTGAATTATCCAAGAATTAAATTAGATTGTCCGTCGACTTTGACCTGAATCTATTCAATGCAACATTTACAAAGCTAAATTCACAGAGAATGATAATTTTACTTTTGATCAATCCAAATATTGATATTGTTATGTTAGCGAGGTTGAACCTCATTGTCTACCTTTTTAGATTGAAAGTTAATCTAAATTGAACAATTTACCATTATAATTATTGTTGTTTGACCAAAAAATCATACAATAATCAAAAGAATTGGATGAAAGCAAAATTAGGTTAAACATTCCCATGTTTTCCTATTATCTAAATATTGGGAAGTTTAGACTAAATTGTATTCTTGACAAATAAAAAGGAGTAAAATGTTGAATTCAATTTCACATATATAAATGAGCTTGTAATTTAACCAATTTTGCTCATTTTTATTCCAGTCTTGAGATAGTCAAATATAATTATAACAATGAAGTGATACAGTTACAGTTTTCATCATGGTTACATCTCTGTTGATACCGTTGCTTCAAACGATACCTATAATTGTTGTTGGACTCTTAATACAGTTCCCTGGTTATAAAGGATCAGCAACATTCTGGCCCTCAGGTTATTATGGTTACAATCGAGATTATGATTCCCTTCGTGTAACATCGGCAACAGGATTTCGTTCACCTTTAGATCAAGCAACATGGCCATCTCCGTCATCATCTTCATCATCGTCTTTATCTTCTTACTATCAACCCTCTTCATCTTCCTACTATCAGCCCTCTTCATCAATACCAACAGCACCAGTAGCTTCCTCTCGATATGCTTTACCCTCACCAGTGTATGGAAACAATTACTATGGCTCATCTTTTCCCTTCTCATATTACTCTTACATGTCCAGTTTACCTTATTACACTGGAAGCTCTTATCCTTACAACGAGTGGTGGAAGTTTTACAGTCAATATCCAACCCGAAGTTCCTACTCTAACTGGCCATCGTCGAGCAGCTCTAACTGGCCATCAACGAGTGGTGCTAACAGCAATTACAATTACAACAACAACAACGATGCGTAAGTGTTTATATTTTCTTGATCCATATTTACCGCTCTTTCTAACTACATATGGTTGTAACAAGCGTATTTTCAAAATGTTTATTTCTGTTTGATTAAACAACAATTTTCTTTTAGTCTGGCTATTCATTGTAGATATGCATCATTTTATCGACCAGGCCATCCAACATATCCATATTATCAGCACACTTCATCGCCTGGTTCACCATCTTCCACTTCCTCACAGTATTATCCAGTCTACTCTTATGGATCAACAAGCTATCCATTCACCTATGGAGGTTATAAATCGCCTAGCTATCATCCGTACAATTACAATAGCTATAATAGTTATTACCCACCATCACCATCATCGTCTTTCCCATCGGCACCAATTCAACCACCTTTATCACCGTCTCCAAATTATTATGGCTTAGGATCTTCATCGTATGGATCAGTTCAACCATCAGCGTATCCACCACCTCAATCTCCACTGCCACCTTCCTCTGTGCTACCCTCTTCCTCTCGAGATCTTTGGAGTCAACCTCCTGTTGGATTTGGTGATGTTGATTTCAATAGGCGAATGGGATGGCTTGGAACCGTTCCGAGTCCTGCGAATCCGTATGCGCCCAACTATCATCCAGATAATCTTTTTGGTAACACTTTCTCTCCAACTTCATCGCAACCTGTCGTTAAGTCTGCTCGAGCTGTTGCTGAAGTGATCGGTCCTTCAGGGGTTACCGGAACAATTGTCTTCAAACAAATTGTAAGTAATGAAGACAATATTTTCAATTGAGTTTAATTACTTTATTTCAATTATTAGGGAAGTCGACCAGTTTCAATTGAAGGTAAAATAATGGGATTGACTCCAGGTCCTCATGGGATGCATATTTATGAAATGCCTTTCCTGGGTGGTGATTGTCAATCAGCTGGTGATCATTATAATCCACAGAAAACTGAACATGGAGGTAAACATGATTGGAATCGTCATATTGGTGATTTGGGCAATATATTTGCCGATGCTAACGGAGTTGCTAGTTTTGATTTAACCGATTTATTGATTAGCCTAACTGGTGGCTATTCAATTGTTAATCGAACCATCGCGGTAATTATCCATCTATTAACATTCCCTTTTAATCAACCTCCAATCACAAATCAATCTTTAAAATAATTTCTTTGTGTTTTCATTCTAGATTTCAGAGAAAGCTGATGATCTCGGAAGAGGATCTGATGTCCAAAGTAAACGAGATGGCAATTCTGGCCCGCCAATCGCATGTGGCATCATTCGATTGAGTGTAATCTAATGAATTGGATAAGCAATTAAAAAACATGGCAATGTTGTTCGTTAAAATTCAAAATTTATTACTTTATGATATACTTTTTTGTTGTAAAATGTGTCTAAAATAAAGCTATTTTTTTTAGTGGAAACAAACTCAATCATTTCTCAGTCAATCCGTTTTACAAGGATAATGATTTGGACAAATTAGGGTTCAATTAAACCAGTAGAAAATTCAATTTATTTTAAAAGCAAATTGTAACAAACAAATGACAACGATAAAAATGAAATAAATAATTGACAATAGTTTGTGTGAATTTTCATTTCGTTTCATTTGTTGGTTAAAAAAATTTTTACAACTTAACATGCAAATGGTCCCAATCATATTTTGGAAACAAATCATATCACATCAATTGTTGAGATGAGAAGAAAAAAGACGTTTCAATATTCATGATTAAAACAAATGATTACTCAATAGTGATGATGACAATTGTCCATCAGTTTTAGTTTAAAAAAATGATCAATTGATTGGTTGAAAAGTAGTGAAAACTGTTAACAACAAGCTTTTCAATTTTAACAAGAAAGAGATGAAAAGGTTGAGTGACAATTTAATTTGATTGTGGCAGAATGATATTTCATGACATCTCTATTATTGTTATTAATTAGAAAGGATTGATGAAAGAATGAGAAAAGAAGATCCAAGATGACAACAATAAACAACTTTTCTTTCCTCATAATGTTTATATCTGTCCTTTGATTGTGCTGGTGAAACAATGATGGCGATGTTCAAGTGGTGGTATTGACGGTGTCGATGACGATGATGATGGTGGTAGCAATGATGGCGATGAATGTGGTGGCGATAATCAATGTGATGAAAATCAAGTCAAACGAAAATCTTATGAAGTTAATGTTGATGGCGATGATGATAATGATTACACAAATTACACAACAAGATGACATTCATATTTAAATATCTAATATTTATGTATAAATCTCTAGCTATCATTTCTTGGCTTTATTCACATTAATTAGATTAGTAATTATATTTTCTACATACTCGTAATTAGTAAGACCTAGAGAGTTTCGTTTAAGCAGTCCAGGTACGTGTGGACTCATTGGCTTTAATTGTTGCCCTTTGATAAAATCAGCCAATCTTTCGGCAATCATTATGATTGGTGCATTTGTATTGCCTGAAATGATGTTGGGCATAACAGATCCATCAGCAACACGAAGACCCTTCACACCACCGAGAACCCTTAAATGTGGATCAACCACCGAGGTTTTATCATAAGGTGAACCCATACGACAGGTTCCCACCGGGTGATAAATGGTTGCTGTGTAGGTACGAGCCACACAAGCTAAATATTCATCGCTCCAAATACTGTAAATCTCACAACCCGGGAAAATGGTTTCAAATAATCTGGCATCCATTTCTCTGTAAGCTGGAGCCAAGCCTACAGCGATTGATATTTTCATTGCATCAACCATGGCAAGTATGTCATCTGGATGGGTTAAATAGCGAGGATCAATTACAGGTGGATCATAAGGGTTGGCTGATCGTAGACGCACGAAACCACGACTTTTTGGCCTCAATAAAACAGGATACATGGAAAAGGTGTCATAGGGAAGATACGGTCGGTACACTTGTTCCCACATTTCTCGGGTAAAACCTTGAACCCGACGAAAGGTTTGCCCATCATCTGATGTTGGTCCACCGGATAAAAGATGAATCTCAAAATCAGGCCAATCATCCGTAAGGTTGGTATATTTGGTCTTTATAAATCCTAAGCCTTCTACACCACCCAATGCGGTTAATGGACCTAAAGGTAGAAAACAAATAGACAAAAATTAGATTAATTCAAACAAAAGCTTTAACTTGTGTATCAAAAGTTCACAATCAATTAACAAATTTATGTGACATTTTGAATATGAATGATTTATGATCATTAGGATTGACTCATTGATGATCATATTTACCTCGTCCACTTGCAAAGTAAGTTAAAATGTTAGGTAAGGTGACGACACGTCTTTGGATAAGAGATACTTTAGCGTCAATTGTGAAATGGATTCCTCCTGGATAAATGTGATCTTGAAGATTGTCACCAACTGGAAGATCAGCAATCACTGGGATACCAAGAGAGGCCAAATGTTCAGCTGGTCCAATACCAGACAACATTAAAAGCTGAGGTGAATTGATGGAACCACCAGAAACGATAATCTCATTACGAGCATAAACAACATGGGTCAATGAAAATCGATCAAACTGGACACCAATGGCTTTCTTGAAATCATTGAAAAGTATACGAGTGGCATAAGCAAAGGTAAGCACATGGAGATTGGGACGTTTACGAGCTGGTCTAAGAAAAGCCTTGGACGTTGAACATCTTGCACCTCGTCTAATGGTTCCCTGAGGAATGGCAAAACCCGCTTGAAGAGGACCATTAAGGTCAACATTTGGGTAACCCAGGTATTTACCCGCTTCTGGAAATGCTGTGGCAATTGGAGTTGCATCTGGTGGTGTTGCTACCGTTAAATATCCGCCGGTTGAATGGTAACCTAAGACGAGCAAAAAAACAAAACAATTATAACAATTAATCGATGCCTCTAATTATCGTCACCAATCATAATCTTAAAAAATATGAAAGTAAACAAAAAACACCAAAAACAATGCAATAGTACGTGATCAACATTCCAAACCTTTTTTGCTGATGGATTTTGAAAGGGAACACTTTTTTTCCTTGGTGATGATATTATTAACAATCAGTTAATCACAGTAAAAAAGAGTCAAATGTAAAGTGTTACAAGAAAAAGGATGAAATACGATTAAAAACCATCATCAAATCGTTCAATCGTCCGTTAATCTGTTTAACCTCAAATGCATTTTAAAATTACAAAAAGGGTTTTCCTTCAAAATTTAAAATGTCAATTATTGAACAGTTTCTCAATTGATTAATTGATTGAATCTCAAACAATACATTGAATGCATTATGTTACCATTTTTGTCACCAAAATGTAACAAACACAAATCAGGCAACAAATTAACATTTCACTTTCCATTTAATTTACTTGTTTATGATAATATATCATTTACATTTACATTAAACCATTGAAGGATAATAAGTTTTTAATGTAATCATTTATGTAAACACGCATCAAGAGTGAGAATCAACAATTTAAATTTAGTTAAACATTTTGATTATCACTCAAATTGGGGAAACTAAATTTTCTGACAAAAAAACCCAAAACCCGAAAATTGAGCAAAGATGAAATGTTAAGGCTTGCAGTTGATTGAAATATTCAAGTCCAATTTAACGGTCAAGATCAAATTATTGAGTGAAACCTTTTTTCTCATGGAATCAGCACAACAGATGAAGATGATGATCATGGTTGAGGTTGATTTGAACGATTGAAATGATCACAATTAACCATTATTAACAATGGTACTTGGTACCTTTTGTTTTGCATCAAACTAACCTCAATTGTTTTCCCACTTATCAATCGAATCTAGTTTTTTTTCTCTTCTTCCAATCAAGTCAATAATACAATTTAGACCTAAATATTGACCTAATTTGGATAATAAATTTGAAGAAAAGGCCATTTTCATCTTAATCTTGATCAACATCAATATAAACATCAACAACATCTTAAAGATGTTTATTTAAAATTAGATTGGCTTTTTAGACTTAACTTGAAATCACAGGTTAAATTGACCGGTATTTTGATTGGGAATCAACAAGAATAGAATCAAGTTAATTAAAATGATCAACAAGTAACAGTTATTACCAGTGATTAGAGTGATACATTTGTTGATCAATAAGATTATCAAATAAACTTGTATTTGCTATTCAGTGCCTTAAGTAGTCGCAAGTAATAATAACTGTAATGCAAGGTGATATTGATTATGAATATTTAAGGTAAAATGAAAGTGAATTGTTCATCTTTATTTAGATGTTTCACTTAAATTGTTCATTAGCTAACAAGTAAAAGTAACCCAATTTCAGGATAAATCAACGATCAGTTTACAGGCAACAATATTAGCTTCAACAGATTGGGTAACTGAACGTTAATCAGATTCATTTTGACATTTACATTGACAGAGCTTTAAACATTTAGCAAATTGTTTTAATTGTTTGCCTCTTTTAAGCTATTGTATTGATTGTGGTTTGATTGAAACAAGATTAAAGTCTAAAATTGAACATTTCAATCAACTAATGATAATCTTGTTTAACTCTTTATCCAGTCAATCTTTCAGATTCAAGATTAACCAGAAATGGCTTCTACATCAATCATGAAAACAATCAGAAACAATTGTGAAAATTGGTTGAAATTGATTGTTAAACCTGACACGATGAAAGGTAAAAATAATTGATTACACTTAATTGACCTTATTTTGTTTCATCGTTAATCAAGTCATAATTTTATGATTAAGATTATGATAGAGGAAAAACTAATTGTCATTCAATATCAACTCATCAATTTCATGGTCTATTAGTTGATTAGTTACAATTAATACTAACAAGAAAATTATTATTTTGTATTATTTTTAACCAACTAAACATATTAAGCTGAAATGGGTAACCAAATAGGTTTCATTGTTAACCATATTGTAACCTAATCGTTTCATCATTGATCATTGACCATCAAATAAATTGATACTTAAAATTTCAACAATCACATGAACAATGATTTTGAAAAAACTGGACTTATACAAAAAATCAAATCAAATCAACAACAAAGATTTCAAGATAGATTCATAACTTTCATTATTTTCCCTGGAATCAGGTCATTTCTTCTTCCAAATCATCATAACCATCATCTTGGAATCTTTCATTCTCCTACAATAAACTAATAATAATTACAATCAAGTTCAAAGGTTGTAATGGGTTGCTCATAAACCAGTTTTGTTTGCCATTCTGTTACTTCTCAGTTGATTTCTTGTTCAGATAATTGTCTCTTTTTTTGTTTTCAGTTTATTTCACTATTCTAATTATTTAGATTGTCATTTGCTCATGTTTGCCTTCACATTGATTCTTATCCTGATCAGCTTCCATCTTCCTCTACTTCAAGTTGGTCTTTTGTACACATCTAACATTTCATGAGTTATTGGGCGATTCCTTTTGTTTGTATCCTCCATTGTTTTCCCATTATTATTACAATTTACCTTTAATTAGAATTAATCAGCTTATTATCTTGATTGGTAAACATGTATCAGAACAAATTAAACGATTAATATCCTTAACCTCCTGTGGTTGTGTTGGTTTAATTGTAAATGTCAAGATGGAGCATCTTCAATTGAAAAAACAACATTCATTGAAGTAAACATCAACAACGATTATGCCAATTATTATTAGCTTGAAAATTTAAAGATAGTCATGTAACGATGAACACAAAAATATAAAAAACAAAGACCAAAATAATTAGTGAATTAAAAATAACAACAGTATAAAGAGTGAAAAATGCTAATCACAATTAAGGTAAACGAGAAGACAAAGACATTTCTGGTTGCCAATGGAAATAAAAAAACAAATTTAGCGCCTAAAGATGATTGACCAAGAGTTCATATTCACATGTTGCCAATGTAAGATATTGTAAGACGAATCACTTTCCCATTTGTTAATTGTTTGCTAAATATTGATTAATCTCTGTTAATTTCATCAACCAAGGAACAACTAAACTTAGGACAATCAAGGTGAGTAGTTAAGCAATTGTGGTGACTATTTCCTTATAAATTAATACCAGTTGTCTTTTATTTTTAGGTAACTCAGCTTGACAAATTTAGGTTTTATTTTCAACTCTTGATGCTATGGTTGATTGGAATCACGCTAATCAACATGAATTGATCAAATTCTCAGCAAATTCTTAAGTTGGTTCTGAATAACTTTGTACAGCTCTAAAATGTTAAACTGGATTCGTCGGTTTTGGTCTTCTGTATGTTAAGTCAGACGATCCTACGATGCAAATATTTTTTGCAAAACAGTTTGAATAGGCAGTTTAAAAGTAAAATCAATCATTATTAAGGCAAGTAATATGTCTGTATGGACTATCATTAACAATTAAACTCAACTTAACAACAATTACCAACAATCTCAAACAGTGGTACTCGCAGAGTTAAACAAAGCAACAACCAAGTGATAAGACACCAAATCAGTGAACGTCAAATAATGCAACAATCAGTATTGATCATCAACTGAGTTTATCTAATGTTGATAAATTTAGAAATTGTACTTTTGCCATCTTGTTTTCATGTTAGCCATCAACAAAGAGCAAGTTGAAGCAAATGATTGTTGTAATATTGATGATGTAAAAGATGTTATTATTACTATCAGAAGTTAACACATATCCTTCTAGCATTGGTTCGTACGAATGATTATCATCGTAAAATGGTGATGATGATGATAATAATGAGAGTAACCGATGAAATGTTAGTTAATAGTTGTATTATTACAATTGTTTGAGTCAATTTGAGTTAATTCATTGTTGAGATTTAGATTTTTTTTTGTCAAATGAAAAAAAGCTGAAGAAGCAAAGTTAACAGACTGTGATATGAAGACCTTTAACCGGCTCATCGAAACCTTTTATCTTTAAGGCCACAATAAGTTGACTTGCTTCGATTAACCTTACCATTTCCCTTTCATTTTTTTGCATACAAAAAACATTTTTCTCACCTTTTCTTTCTTTTCTCTCTTTCTTTCTCTCCTTAGCATCAATTATCAATACTTTGCCATCCTGCATCATCTTCATCACCATCAACATTTCACTTGAAAAGACTGTTCTCACCACTCATTTTCCTTTCTTCACTCCTTTCATCATCAAATGTAGCAACAACCACTAATCCAGCTTTGGCCTAAACTTTAAACTGTCATACTGTTGAACATTTACACTTAACATTTGATTACAATGAAAGTACAATGATTATAATAGTTATAATTGTTGCTAACAATGGTAACAACAAACAGGATTTACCTGCATTTTAACAAGAAGCGGTAAAAACAATAAGCCCGAGCTATGACCATAGCGTCTTATTGATGATTTATTTGAATATTGTTTGAATTTTAAGATACAACTTCTTTTAAATTCAGACAAATTGTAAATCATTTTAGTCTTATATCATTTGGTAATTGTTAGTTTGAGGAAATGCCAAATGTACGAATTAATGTCTACAATCAAATCAATTATTCCAGAAGAACTGACTAGGTGATTGGACTTAACAAACGAAATTTTTTGAACAAATAGAGCGTATTTTCTCGAAAAATAGACTCAAGGGAAACATGGGAAACTTCCCATAATTAAGTCCTCAGTTATAAGTGTTCCTACATGTGCTAGATTTAAATAACATTCACCAAATAAGCAAAACTATGAATTAAGCTGTCAATCCAGAAATTAACTAAATTGCTTTTGTTACCAGAGCTTGGATTTTTCTGGTGTTGATTTAGATTTCTGGTATCGGTTAGATATTTATCGTCTTGTTGAGTTTTCTTCTTACTATTGACCAGAGAAACAATTCAGTTGAATGCTGTGGTTGAATTGTTTACCTTTTGATGTTTCATCAATTTATACAAATTGCTGTCGTAATTGTTCAACTATGAATGCCAGTTGTGAAACTTTATTGTTAAAGCTTTTCAATCTTATCATTAGACATAAACGGATCAATCTGAATTTTGTTTCCTTGCTGAACAAACAGTGGATAACTCTGTGATAGTGATTATTCGGATATTTAACACTTTTACCAAGTTACCTACATGATGAGAACCACAAAAAAAGGTTGAACAGGAAAATTGGACTTTGTTTGCCCGAAAAACCTGCCTTGGATTGTTAATAATTGGATAAGATCAATACAATTTGTTATGGACGGAGATGGAAAATCAGAAGAAGAAGAAAAAAATTACAGCTTGATGCTGTTGATTTAACCTCAACTAACAGTTTATCGGTAGTCAGTCAAGGCAAGTTATATGGTACAAACTTTACTTGAAGTTATCTTCATTCATTCATTCTCATCTTCTTCTCTTCTCTTTCTTTTCATTCCCGTACAAGGTGAAGGTACAAGTTTGATTTTAGAGACAAAAATAGTACTAATTGAGGTCTAGCCCGGCAAGTGAGCCGAAGCGTGGTGACTGTTTCAATTGCCTACCTTTACTCATCGCCATCTTCATTACCAACCAAAACAACCATACCTTGCCAAATCATCTGATTCACGTTACATATATAATTTATATTTATATTTATAATTATATTTTTATTTAATCTCATGTATGTAATATGGCCTCTTAGTTGACCTGTGCCCTGACCTTTACCATTTTCATCTATCTTTATCCTATTCAGTTGATTTTATCGTATAACATCAGGCCAACAGTTGATCCATCATCTATTTGTATCAAATTGACCATCAAGACCTAGACTGTTTCCTGATTATTAGATCAACAAATAATCATCTTTCCAACCTTTTAATTAATCTATTTCTTTTTGTCTTCTAGCCTAAACCAGACCAAACCAGGATCAAGATTATCATGATGAGGTACATCAAAGTGACGGAAATAGCCTTGCATTCTTGTTTGTAATATTTAAAGTACAACACTGATTCAAGCCTGATTTGCTGATTAGAAGAGGAAGAAAAAAGGTCATGAATGATGGAAAAGAGAAACAACTTGACTGAATATTGAACAATTTAAAGTGTTTCTTTGTTACCAAGAGTAAACACTACAATTGAAATAGTATTACATATTGCTTTATTCAGCTTCATGACTGTCTGGTAAATTAATTCAACTTATTGATAACCTTTTATCTCAGGCTATACATCATTTAATTTGAATAATTAAATTAAATCGATTAATCTAACTCATCAATTATACTTTCGCTGGCAGCTCTCATTAACTTGCTCAATATCAATATGTATTACCACTTCAATTGAAAATCAACACAACTTGTTAACTTATATATTAATATATTTATATGCCCTAATGAATTTTAAATGCTTGTTTCATTCAGTTTGGCCTAATATTGTGAGAAGAAGAAGCAAATTGAGTTTTAATGAAACTGGTTTTGATCAACATTTGATTAAGATTGAATATTTTGATGAAAGCAAGATAAACAAGTCCAATGAAAGTAAATAACACTTTGAATGGCGCAAATTTCACTCGCAATTCAAAAAGTATTATCACTATTAAGCTCAATAATTTAGTTCAATAGTATAAAGCATTAAAACTGTCTGGAATGGTCTAAAATGGCCTAAAAAAGAGTATAAAAGTGACCGAAAAATCGATATTTACTTTAAAAAGTAACCTTTTTAAAGGCCATTTATCCAATATTATGGATGAAAAATATTATATTTCAAATTACTATTTGATTAAAATTATTTGTTGACTAGTTTAACCAACAAACTGGTTCATCAAAGCTCATCAAATGAACCATTTATAACGTTATTAACACTCATCCATTGACTATCAATATTTTAAGGTTTGGCTGATTAATCAAAGAAATACAAAAAACAAGATCATCTTTCAGCTCATCTTTAATTAATAATTGAAGGTAGATGATGAAGATTAAATTGTCATATTAACTCAACAGTTATGTTAAAATTTGAAGAGCAATTCAAGCCCTTTTCTCAATCACAATTTAATATCAAATTTTCCTGGTTTCATCTTTGATCTTGAGCCAATTATAATAATTGCTTTTTAATATCGTTTAACCATCATTTTATATAAATGTTAGTAGCTAAATTGAATCTAAATTGAATCTAAATTGTAGTTGACATTATTGAAGGTAAATGATGATAATAACAATAACAAGATTGATCTTGATATTTAACTTAATGCTTTACTTGATTAATAATTGGGTGAGCCTTTTGATGTGGTTTAAAAAATGGGTTTGATTATAACTCATGAAATTTATAATATTTATTAAATTGAAACACGATCATCATTTTCATGATTATAATCATGATGATAGAATAGCTTTCAGTGAAATTATGCGTGAAAACAAGATTCCCTTTCTAAATTGAAAGAGAAATAACAAAATTTAAAAGTGAGTTAAATTAGGAATCACAATTTGATTGTGATGATCATTATAACAATTACAGTTTGCTTCACTTCACAATAGCTCATTAACAGTTAAGTCAAACCTCCTAACTAAGTCACTCAGTCAATCAGTGAAATATCATGAAATAGAGTAACTCACTTGATTCACTGAACCAGTCAATCAGTTAATCAGTGAATCGAGTCGCCATTGGTGATGAGAAAGTTCAATTTTTCAATTCAATACCATAATCATTTGCCACACAATTTATTGGTTAACCTTTCATTTTTTCATGGTCAAGTTTACCAATAAACCCAAACCTAACCTTTCAATGGTCAACAATAACAGTTACAGATTTACATTTAGAAACTAGATTTCTTTGTATTTCAACAATTAGTATGCACTTTAAACTGATCAACTCAATTTACCATCAATCATATTGTTGCAATTTGATATTATTTTTATCCTATTCAACCCATAATCATAAGGATAAAATGTTGAACAATATGCATTTAAAGGGTTATAAGGATTGCGATGAAAACGTGAATCTAAACTGTAAATTCGTGATGAGAAGCAATTAATAATGATAATCAACCAACTCGGAATTGTAATAGGTTTTGATTGCCTTGCTAACATTCAAGTTGAAACATGAAAAGAATAGCTTAATTGTCTCGTTTAATTGTCAATTTCACTCTTTTTTTGCTTTTACTTATTGATTGTTCATCTTGAAGTTGATTTGCACAAAAAAGTGTGATCTTTTTGATGCTCTTGATTAAGTCTGAGTTTGAATACATTTTGTCTGTGATTTAACAATCAGTCATAACAGTTGATCATTCAAATTCACTCTCATGATCAATATCATTGCTTTAAATAACCTTCTCAATATTCAAATTAGATTGCAGCTGAATGTAATGAATGTAAGACAATAATAGTTTTTAATGAACACAAATGCTGATCATCAGACTAATCATCATTATACATAACCATCACCATTATTTTGAGCATCATCAACTTTTTGACTGTTATCATAATTAAACTATCATTACATTACTTTAACTGTCGGGCTAATTGTTGCTGTCTGACCAGTTAAAACATAATTTAAACTCTTCCTTTTCATGTGGTTTATCGGAACAGTTAATGGTCAATCAACTAATATTGATTCTATTGATTTAGATTATTCAAAATTTTAATAATCAGTTGTGATTTACTTTTAATAGCAAATCTTTTAAATAGATGGCACTTTTAAGGGTTCAATTAAGATTGAAACAAAATGGCAATTTTTGAACCCAATGAATCATAAGCAAAGGGGAAAGGGTAACAATGGAGCTGACAAGAAGCGCGAGTTTAGCTGTTGCATTGAAGATCTCTATCGTCTGGTTATTATTTGAATCTTAATTTTTAACGTCTTTAAATTTTGACCAATTAAGTAAATGGTCGTTGTTGGTTGATCCCGAGGATCTAAATTGAAACAAATTCATCAACAATCAACGGATTAACTGTGAAATAATATAAGAAACATGTTAAAGTGTTAAAGTATGGTTACCCTAAAATGGAGTCAAAGAATGAGTGGAGGCAACAAATAACCATGCGGATGAAGGACCTTAATTACGTTATGTATGAGCTAATCAGTTAATTGGTTTGCATTTGACGATTGAATTGACAAAAGGGGAATAGTGAAAACAATTGGAAGATCTAGCGTTTGATCAATTCATAATCAACAACAGTCAACAAATGCTGCAAAATGTAAAACGGTAAGTCTTATGATATACTTTCTAGGCCGTTTTCCTTTCTTCCCCTTTTTTTTGCATCTTATCGTCTTCTTTCTTCAGGCCAGGTTCATTTATTTTCGCTTACTTTTTCTGACTCTACTTAATTCCAACAAAACATGACTAAATTTAGGCATCAACAGTTTTCACAAGCTAGCAATTTATTGCAAGCAAATCTTTTTGTTAAGTAAGAAAGGAAACAAATTTTAACCAGGAGAAGAAGAAGAGGAAAAAGTGAGATGATTGTTGTTGATGAGGATGAACATGGTGTGTGATAAACAAAAGAGAAGGGGATGAAAATGAAAATATGTTTCAACGTGTTAATGTTACTTTTATATTTCTTTTAATCGTCAGGAAACAACCCTTCAAGCTAACATGCTGAGGTCACATTGTTTAACTTGGTGTCAACCCAAACATTACCAACAAATAAAACTCTGGTTAACTCTTTTTTTCATTCTCATTCCGCCCTTACTTTTTTTCATCTCAACAGTAAGTATACAATTAATCTTGTTAGCTGATTTCACATTCAACTAATAGTAAATTTCATTATTTCTCAAGTTTTCACGTTTTCTTAAATATTATTTCAGGTAGCAAAGAGGTCAAAACGAGGACAATTTTTCTAATTCTGCCTTACCATTGTCACACCAAAAAATAGGATCGCTTGTCAAATACTTGGATGCAAACCGTTATGAAAGTAAAAATTTGACGATGATTGATCCCTTTCACTGGCTTCATCAATACAATCAACACGAAACGACAATCATGTCAACAACATTCACTTTCTCAATCTGTCACTGGATCAGAAGATCTGATATATCTAGAATTGGATTGATTACATGTGATATTGGAGCTAATGAGTGTAGTGGTAATGGTGATTTTTTTCATCATTTCTCCCTCTCTTCCCTTTATCTTAAACTATTGTTATTGTTTATCGACTCCAATTTTAACGTGTTTTGTTTTTGCGTGTTTTTAAACGCTCTTTCATCGGCTTTTATCTTTCTTATTGTTTTTGATTATTTTTTTTTGTTTTCCCTCAATTTTACCCTTTGTCTTGACTTTCCATTTTGCCTGTTCAATCAATCAGATCAGTAAATCATCGAAAGTTGACAGTCAAGGCGAAAATGTCACAAAATATTACTTTCTCCATCACTTTCGTCATTCTGATCATCTCATTGAATGAAAATTTTGAAATGAAAGTTGAAGCGAAATTAAAACAAATGAATATAATCAATATTTAATACAATCTATCGCCTGCACTTAAAGTGTAAATATCATTGAAATTGTGTTAATTGAACATGAAGTTATCCCAATGACATAAGAGTGGGTCAAATTAAGACCAATTAACAGTTAATTCTAGTTGTAAAATTAACACATTATCTAAAATTAATGATTGATTTTCAAATTTTATTCATTAACAGATTGGATCGATCAACAAAACAAGCTAATCTGCTTTGATGACTTGGATAATTGAAACATTCAATGGATGCCAACAGCTGACATGCAATGAAAAATACTTGTACAATCCTCACTGGTCAGTTTCATCCATTCATTTTTTCATTACCAATTGAAATCAAATGGATTAAAATTAATCAACCAATTCATTTAACCTTTTGGCCCACTGTAAATGGATCTTCAATCATCTAGAAAATACAACAAAGCCATTGTCACCTAATCCTATCAAAGTAATTGTTTGATAAGTAGATAGGTTTACCTTAGGAATTAAAAATGAAATAAAGTGTAATGATTTATATCTTCAATTAAATGGATAAGCTAGCTTCATTGTAAGTGTACAAGTGATAATTGTTGATAATATAACGTTAAGTGGTCAGTTGTAGGACAAGATTTCATTTTATTTCATCTTTTACGATGGTTAGTTCATTGATAATTAAAGTCTTTTGTGGATTGAATGTATTGTGGTGAGTGAAAAAAAATTGCGATCAGTGATGATCAGGGGACTGCTTGTAATGTTAACCAGAATTGAAGGTTAGGGTCGCTTATTATTTAAACGCTTGTCAAATAAAGCTGTTAATCACATCTATTACCAGGCCTATTTTTTTACTTGTATTGTGTATTGATGAGAATGATGAGTAAAATTGATTGCGTTGATTGTTAAATAATGTGAGATGAAGTAAAAAAAATGTTATATAAAAAATGAAGATTGACTCTTGTTATGAGTTGGCCTCAAAAACACTTTCAGGTTAACCTTAGTGAACAAGTGCAACACAAATTGATCGTGATTAAACAAACAAGATTACTATTAGTAAATTGTTGACAATAGTTTGCCCCTTTCTGCTCTTTCTTCATCACGCTCTCTGTTTAACTAACTATAAATAATCAATTTAAACAACGTGCCAATGTAATCAACACTTTTGCTGTTTAGAAGCAAAAATGTTTATTTACCTTTCAATCTCTACGTCTTTTAACCAATTCATTGAGTCCAAACGCAGTCAATTTAAACAAATTGTCCGTTAAAATCATGTCGATTCTTAATCATTTTTTTCTGTCATTTCTATTTTAGTGAAAATCAATCACATTGTCATCAATGTTTGGATTAATATGGTTAAATGATTTGGACTTGCAAATACTGACGCAAAATTGATGGTCAAAGTAAAAATAGATTCAATCAAATCGCTAACTACTAACACATTAAAAATAAAATTATTGATTTATCAGGCAATTGGTAAAAGTCAATATATGGTTGAGTAGTGTTTAACCATGATAATCATTATGGTAGCCATTGAACTGTTATTTAACAAATGAGGTGAGATTTACACTAATATGATTAACATTTGTTATGTTGTCAAACGTACAAATTGATTGTTTACTCGTTTTTTTCATTAGGTTATGATCAAGAGTTGGAGTTGGTGTGAATTATGATCAATGCTTACCATTATATGCAAGACTTGGATCTCGATTGTCTTCGGATTTAAGAAAATAAGGAAAAACTTCTTCCCATGACCAACCATAGGCACCATCTTTAACCCAATTTGCATAATCACGTTTATTACCTCGAACATAAAGCATGTAATTGAGCACAGATGAACCACCTAGCACTCGGCCACGAGGCCAGCGACTTCGTCTGTTGATTAATCCAAAGCACGAGGCTTCTTGAGGCTCTGTTTGATAGGCCCAGTCAATTGGAGTCATTTGAAGGGTTGCCGCAGCAATCGGAATGTCACTCAATATCGATTCAGATCCTCCAGCTTCGAGTAGCAACACTCTCCATGCTGGATTCTCGGAGAGACGATTTGCAAGAACAGCACCAGCTGATCCTCCTCCCACTGCAAAGGATAAAAAATAGATTATAATCAATAAAACAAAGATGGACTTGGATAGACAATCAAAATGAACCATTCAACGCATTTTTGATTAACATGATGAAAACAAAATTGTGAATGATTTAGCTGGTGATTGTGAATAGACAATTAAACAAGAAAAAGATGATGATTTGAATGAAAAGTGAATTGAAAATTGTGTCACTGGTACAATCTAATTCATTTCAATGAATACAAATAGAAACAGGATTTTATAAAATAGTGAAAGACAAGCAAACAAATTAAAACTAATAACAATTGATTATCAATATTTGACTGTATATTTTCAATCATCTTTGCAACATCAACTCATCAACTGATCATTTAGATTTGGTTCATCATGATAACCATGAAATTGTAAATTGATTATCAAAAACAAACACACTTTTGACCAACATAATCAACTTAATTGTTTCTTCTTATTTTCCTTTCCTTTTTGCTGCTTGTTAACAACAAATTGTGCAACCAAATTCATTCAGATTCATTTGATTGTTTAATTTTTGGTTACATTAGTTAATAATACACTGGACAAGAAAAAGCTGGTCAAAATGGTTAAATGGTCAATCAAGCTTTACATTTTCAAAAGGACTGAATATCTAAATCATATGATGAAGGGATATGGCAAAAGGTTTCTAATAATAAAATAGATACAGATTAATCAATTACAGTTGTAATTCAGAATCAGTTTGACGGTTAAAACTGTGAAAGATTGAAGTCTAAATTGAATTGAATCATTATCTTGTAATTTACTTGATATTGATCAAAAATACCGGTAAAATTAACAGTAACTATTGACCATGAGACAGGTTGATGTTTAGGATGATTAAGATGATGAATCTGACGATTGATTGAAAATGGATGGTTTTTGGGTTTAATCAGACCGAAAGATCACAAATTTTGCTCAACACAGAATTGGGTTTGTAATCAAGTTAATTCAATGAATATCAACACTTTCAAATTGGTAAATTGATATCAATCACAATCAATGTTAGCTGTTATTAGAATCTGTATTCACCTGATAATCAAGTTCAATTTTGAAATGAGTAAAAGTAAAAATTGCAGTTTAAACGGTAAAATTGGTAAATGTAAAGCTAAAAACGTGTAAAAAGTGATAAACCATTTACAAACGGTACTGCTATTAGGATGAAATTTGAAGGTTAGTCAACTCAAAACTGATTATTGGGTTAAAGCAATACAATAAGAAATTATAATTACCTATGATATAATCATACTCTGGTTCCCAATTATTTCTTGATATACTGACTGAATGGTCAGCAGCTCTGATCCACAAGAGGGTGGCAAGGGGAAGCAGCGCTGGTAAAACTGGAGTAAAGTCAACCATGATTGGGAATGTGAAAAAATTACGATTTAAAAAAAACTAGGATATAATTTAGGTAATTAAAAATTGGGTATTTCAATAGGCTACGATTTAGGCACTAAGTTACAGGATTAGTTGATTGGTTTTTATTAAACCCATCTAATGGTCAACATTAGTCTGGGCAAAAAGGCACTCTGAGAAGATGATTTAAAGATGGTTAAGAGACAACGTTCACAGAGTGGATCAGCAATCGATTTTGAATTGTTGATGTGTTTGTACAAAATCAGGTTGACTGTGGAAAAAGATGAAAATTATTGAAAAATTGAATCTATTAAGATGATTAATTAGATGGCAATTGTAATTAATGATGGTTAAAACGAGGTAAAGATCTTTGTGGATCAATATGAATGTATCATGTAAACACAGCACTTTTTTGGTATACAACTCATTCAAAGTGCGAATGAGTGTGATGGAAACACTTGACTTAGTACAAAATTCATCTTGAATCTTTTACATGATGGTAATAAGTTCTGAAGTAAATTAATTCCATAATCAGCAATCAAGAAAATTGAAAAATCACAAACAAATGGACAAAGGGAAACAAGAGAAGCAGTGAAACGGTTAAAAAACAATGTAACGGTTCACATTCACACCGGTTTGTCCATAAATCCTTGTAGTTAATCCTGGTTGAAAATTCAATGGATCACAATTAAATTAAACAAGAGAATCATATTTGATGGTGGAAATTGAAAAAGCACAATTGAAAGCACAATAATTGATTATCTTAAAGTGTTTAAATGGTTAATGTCTTTAACTTTCAAAATGAAAGTGATTGACTTGAAAAATGAAAAAATAAGAAATAAAAGTAAAACGTTTATCAATAAAAAGGTAAACGTGTAAAACGGTGCAAAATCAAGTTAAATGTGACTGATGAGGATGAGGAGAATGATGAGAATGACGATGATGATGGAAATGAAACTGAAAACTGATGAACTACTAAGTGTATAAAAAAAGAAACGTCGCTTTCGTTAAGTCGTTGTTGATGCTGTTTAGAGGTAAATATTTTTCGGTGCAGTTGAAGACAAGAAGAGAAACATGAAAATGATCAAGATGAGGATGGATGGATGATGAAGAGGAGGAGAGTCAGAAAGGGGGTTAGGTGGGAGGTTAGAAAGAGAAGAAGAAAGAGAAGAAGAAGAAGAAAAAAACCGTTACAACAATTATCATCATCATAGTGTTGATTCAATAATAGACTAACATACAAACCTGAAAAGCCGTGAGAGGCAGAGAAACATCGTCATCATCTTTTCCATCTTATTAGATGATTGGAGAAGGATGAAGATGAGAAGAAAGAGAAATGATGAAAAGGTAATGAGAGCGAAGAGAGGATGATTGGGGGAGGAAGAGGAGGACGATTAGAGCAGTTTATTTGAATGGGATTATGATTGAATATGATTGAAAATGGTCTTAATTGTTGCTCTTTCATTAACGGATATTGCTGTTTCATTCAATGTCATTTTATCCATAATATTGTGATGATATTGAATAATGTTAGAGGCAAAATTGGCCTGAAAAATATAAATCAAAAAAAGTTCAATTCTGGGTCAACTTGGAGTTAAGAGTTACATGGTAAGAGCTAGAAATGGATAACAATCAATTGTCAATAATAGATGATAATATATTGATTAAGATGGCACAATCAATTTGGTAACAATTTTATAGCAATTGTACAAACTGGCAACAAATGCCATTCAAAGCTACTAAATTGAGAAAAGCTAAAATTATCATTTTGCTGAGATTAACGTTTTCGAGGTAAGATTATCTACTTTTTTACCTTAACTAGCTAGATGTCTATCAATTATTTTAATAATACAATTTACATTGTATTTACATGCTACTGTTGTCAATTGGGATCAACAATTAAAACGCTATTCTGTCTGATTGGGAAAATTGATTAAAATGGCTCATGCTGTTTCAACTAATCGCAGTCATCTTTAGGTTCAATCATTGTCATTATGTCATTGGTAATCCATTATTTTCAATTGATCCTGCCAATTCATTTTTAGCCATTTTTAAGCTTTATATCGAGAGATTAACAGATTAAGGTTTGATTTGAATCAGGGAAATCTGAAAAATGATAAACTTAAAATAATTGTCGTTGATTCAATCTATGCTCATTACCATTCCAATCACTTCCATTATCATCATCTTCAGTGTCAACTTGTTACTAATGCTTGTTATTTCATTGTTATGGTTTTAAAACCAGTTTTTTAAGCAAATCATTACAATTGTTTGGGTTTTGAATGTCTAACCCTAATTGCCCATTATCAACTGATTGTTAAATGAATCTTTAATCAATTACATTCAAACGTTCTCACTTGATTATGTGAAAATATAAATAAACAAATGAATTCTGGTTTGTTACCAATAATGTAACAATAATAAAATATGGATTGATTGCTGTCTAACTGAATTGATAAGTTTCAATTTTTGATTCACAAATATGCAATTAACTTGGTTATCGATTAATTGTCGCTTCATTTGGGTTTTTTGTTGGTGAACAAATTTTGGGTTTAAAATTGAAAGGTTGAATGAATAGACAGTTATGGTTGGAGTTTTGGGTTGACATCATTACTCTATGATTAAACAATATTGAAATGAAGCTTAATCAAGACTGACAAATCAATTGTATTTGGTTAATCATAGTTTAACTTAATTGTCATCAAATCTTCATTAGTATAATTGATTGTTGAATGGAATTGCAAAAAAAGATGAAGTAAAAATGAAATGGAATCAGAAAAAATATCACTTTTTAACCTAAAACAGTGCAATGCAATATTAGAGTTTATTGGCCTATCAATGACAGAAATACTGACAATAATGATGAAGATGATCTGGATGATGGGGATGAATTGGTCTAAATTAATCTTGTTTCATTGATGATTGTGAAACTTACAATGAACAGGTCACAACAATGAGAGGTTGAAATGACGGAGAGAAAGGATTAATAACATTTAATGTAGACCTTCATTAGAAAGTTGAGATTCATTCAAATTGAACTGTCCATCCGTACTATTAATAATAATCATAATCATGATGAAAGTGGATAATATTGTCATCATTATTACCATTATTGTTTATTTCAATTGTCTACAATTAACTAGCTTAAACGTAGTAACCAGCAACTAAAAAAGCGTAACTATTATTAACAACATTATAAAGATGCACTTTAAATGAACCCAAAGCATATTTTTACCCAATAGAAATTTAAAACACAGTTAGTACAAAAAAACGATGATATGTATAGTCTCGACAATCACAATTAGCCAAGGTTAAATATTCAATATTCTGACAGTTATTAACTGGACTTGACAATTAATCTGGTGAACATTAATGAATGTGAGTAGATTTAGATGAGAACAGCTACTTTGCCATTTGAATAGGGTTTATATGATCATCACTGGCATAATTGATGTGTGAGTGTATTTTAGTGGATATTTTTAGCTAATCAACATATAATGACACATGTTAACCACCAATTTAATTACAATTGCCGTCTTTGTTTTTAATCACATAAAAATTACCGAATTTGTAATGTACATTAAGATACACCAGACTCTTTTCGGGTTATTCCAATATCACTTTGCAATAAGGTTCAACTAAAATACCAGAAACATGCCAGGTCAGAAATGATGTCGTACTAAAGACAGTCAAAGCAGGACAAATTAAATCGTTAACTTAATGGACATGTAAAGCAATCAATTTACAGTTGAAATAAAGCAAAAAATTCACTTACCCAAAAGCAGAAGTTAATCCTTGTCATTGGAAATCACATGCCTTATGATGTCCTAAAATTGAGATTAATCAAGATACATTTTTGGGTTGATATAATTTAACAAGATGGCCAACGGTAAAACAAGATTAAAATAATTAACAGAAAACAGAGAAAACAGAGAAAACATAAGACAAGATGGCGATGAGCGCCAAGTGAAACAAGACAATACCAGTGACTAATGGTTTATAATTTTAACCAGAAAACCAGAAAGTGAAAAGCCTTTAGTTTTCACAATTGGTCTTCTTGTTGATGAGCTATCGATTCAATTGTAACTTCAATTGACCAACAATAATTAAAGGTTAAAAAATTGGGTTGTTGATTGGTAGTTGGTTTAAAACAATTTGAAATGTAACAATTTATAAATTGAAACATTTTCTTCCACATTTAACAATGGCTCTTGAAAATATTGCTACATTGAGTCATTGGGTAAGTTAGCTGATAAGTTAACCAGACCTAAAAATTGGTTCTTTGTGCCATTAAACTTGTGGTGATACAAAAGGTCATTATCAAGCAGTTAATAACCCATTTTTACTTTGATCAATTGGTGAAGGTTAATCAGCTAGGATTAATTTGATTAACGATGAAAGAGTACAATTGATATTGATTATTTTGGCTATCATTTGGTCCAGTAATTATGATTGATAAACACACCTTGCCATTAATCAATCCAATTATTTAATGAAAGTAATTGTTTTAATTATCATGAAGAAGCCAATAAAACAGTTAATCCAATCTGCTGAATATTCATTCAAGTGAACCTGAACTCATCTTTGATCAATAAGCATTAAATGTTACCATTATGATTGCTAATAGTAGCATCATCTTCATTATTCAACGATTATGATGATTTAAATTAACAATTGAAAAATAATTAACCTGAAAATGAAAGTTCAATGATAAATGATTGAATGACAATTGAATTAAATATAATAATTGGATGGTGAAAAATATGAGACAAAAGTACAGACTAAATAAGTGAACATTAATATAGCTAATCAAATTTGAATGAAACGACAGAAAAAGATGAGTGAATCGAATGCAGAAGTCAATGAGGATCAATTGAAATCCTTTAATCACACTTAATAGAGACTGAAAATAATAATAAAAACAAAAGTAAAAATACTTACGGCAATTAAATGCGTCAAAATTTAAGGTGCTTAGTAACGGTATGTTTCAACCAATATCTTAATAAATCCTAATCGTTAATCTTCTTTAAGTATTTCAACAAAGAGATGACCAGCGGAGTCATTAGCCAAACAATTCGGACAGAACCAAAACAATAACCAATACGATCACCACTGAGAAATTGTTCCGAATTTCCAATTGTCTCGATTGAGTGAGATTTTTTTAGTAAAGATTATGGTCAGTCAATTATCAAAATTAATTCAAATGGCTCTCGTGAAATATCAATCAGATAATTTATGAAATCCATCCAAAATGATATTTTAAACTTGATAATGAAACAAGATTGAAAATCATGAAATTGTGACAAATATTTGAAAGATTACTATTTAATATTTGTGTTATCTTACAATTAATTGTATGGGTCAAGTGTGGATTGTATTAATCTTTTGGTATTTTTTGTTTCAAGAACTTGTGTGCCGGTTCTTGGTTTGAATGCTGGAATCGCAAGGATTAGGATTACGCTTGAAAGCAATGTTAACCAATGGTAAAATAAGGCGGCTTTAATGGCATTTATTTGGCACCAAAGTTGGTCACCAGTTTGCAGCGTCGCACAGAGAGGGAATAAGAAAAGATTTTCATTCAATAGGTGACGCTGCAATGTTTTCCTAGGCCTCGCCGCATTTTTCACTTTTTGTTATGTTTTTGTGTTTGTTTTTTTTCCTTTTTTCAAAAATATATTCCAGTCAAAATCGTAACTTGGATTAAATTTAATTAAAAGTGCCTATTTCTCTTCTATTTAGAAGCTGCTGGAATAACCAACACTTATTGTATTATGTGCAATTCGGAAGCTTTAACAGAGTTAACAGATCAACATTCAGAGTTTAATTTTTCTCCAACGACTCACACGCCGATTGAATACAACAACAACACTTTACTAAATAAATGTTTTCAAGCTGGACTTTATAAAGCTGTGCGAAAAGATTTGCATATTAACATGTTCACGAACTTTTTTGACTCTATTAATGAAGAAAATGAAGAACATGGAGAAGATGAAGGAGATGATAAAAAGAAGAAAGAAGAGAAAAAGAAAAGAGATGAAAAAAGGAGAAAAGAAGATGAGAAAAAAAGAAAAATGGAATTATTACAGAGATGTTTCCTGGTCGGAGCCCACAAATGCGAACAAAGAAAAACTGGTAAAGATGCATTATTAGGAAAGTGTTTAGCAGCTGGCCTTTTTAAACGTGACTTAAGATGAAAAATGTATTAAACCCTTCTTCGCCAATCGTGCTTTCAATCCTGATGTCTTCTTCTTTTCCTCCTTTGATACTTTTTGACGATTTTGTTTTTCTTCAACTGCCTTCTTCATTTTATCGATCCTGTGATAAAGTAAAGAAAAATTAAGATTAATAGGTATGAGAGAAAACTAATCCTGTTCAATTTTACATACTCTTGTTTCAATTTTTTCATTATCTCTTATAAAATATCTTTAAATCGTTACAAAATGGATCCACTGGCAAAAAAATC